CTAATCGTGATCCATTTTATCTGGGGATCTATTTTATCTTAAGTGAAGCTAACGACTTTCGAAAATGTAGACCGATGCATACGTGTTCCTAAAAGGGCATACTTGACGGAAGTATCCCAAATGTTTCCGCCGTTTAGCCCAGAAATCTGGTGAGTGAACCGTTTTCGACAGGTATCCCGAACAGGTACAACACCACCGCGCGGCCGAGTGGCGCGTCATCGGCGCCCTGTAATCTTGTCTCTAGCGGAGACCTTTTCCTGCGGTATTTCTAGTTTTTAACATAGACACCGCGTCGGCGGCGGGCCGGAGACGAGAGAGGAGGTGGCCAATTACGAGAACTCTTGAGTATCAAGACATCCAAAGCTCTATCGAGTCCCACACCCGAAACTCCACGCAGTCGACGAGTCGTTGACCGCAACATGGATATCAAACTAAAAAAAAAAGGAAAAACCGGCCGAATGGAAAACCAAAATTTAAAAAATTTAGTTTGAAAGTATTATACTATATTTGATGTACGCGTTATAATGAGATGATGCATGAAGCGTCCTTTTCTCGCGTAAAATTGCGCAGATAGAAAGTGTGACATAGAAAAAGCACTTGAAGCGATTTCTACCCCTTTCTGCGGAAAATCGTCGCGTCTGAAAATATATGCCCTCTCCCCCTCTCTCTCTCTCGTTCTGGAATTAACCCGCGACAGCACAGGAAATTCAAACGTCTTCATCGTTTAATATCACTTGACGTTACGTTACATTAACGAAGTGTTATTCAGTCGTTCCGTCACGGAGTGGAACGTGTAAATAATACCGTTTTTCGAGAAAATTGTAAGTCCCAGGTGCCGGCGCGCGGATTACCGTGTAATCTCGCGAGTCACGCGCAAATCGACGCGGAATTATGCAAATTATTGATGCCGTTTACTGCTCATTGCCCTCCCCGACTGGATCGGCGCGCACCCTGGAAATTAATCTACGCTCATGCACACGCTCGGCACGCACACGCCACCCCTTCTGTGTGCAGGCGTATACAGCACGTCGTTTCACATGGCTACCGAGGCGCGGACGAAAGGGATGTGTGCGGCTCGAATTAAAAACTAATCCGATATTAACTCTTCTCTTCCGTCCCTCCTCCTCGGCGTATCGCGCCGCCGTTTCTTCTTGAAGCGAGTATTATACGTATGTACATACATACATACGTTCCTCTCCTCGCAAAGACGCTCACGGTATACCCACTGATACCTGAAGATAACGCGTTACACGCGGGATTATTCATGCATCGCGGTTAATTAGGTCCGTGCTGCGTCCGCTAATTTCCCGGGAGCACGCAATATCAGCCGCTTTGTCCGGCTATCTGATTCCGAACGCGTACGCGCGACGTGGGAACGTTGTCTTGAGAGACCCGTTAATAACAACGTCGATCTTTGTGCGATATCGGATGCGGGGGGCGGATCGGGGCGGGAGGGGCGGAGAGGGAAGGGGAAGGGGGAGGAGGAAGTTGGTACGCGAATAAAATTTTCAACGAAATTCACGGGGAGGAGAGCGGCGTTGTAAGATGAGTCCATAGAGAATATAGAAGCGGTGTTAATAACATCGTTCCGTTTGATCGCCATTCCTGAGTACTGCACCGTAGTATGTAACAACATCCGCGCTCTATATCGTTACACGCACAGGGCACGCCGCGTGTGTGCCCGCGTGTGTGCGTGCAGTGTACGCGTGTATGCACACACGACACGCGCGCGAGGGCGCGTTTATAAAATCATGAGCGGCGCGCTGCCATATTTATACGAGCGTAGAAAATTTATTGTGATTGCGCTTCGCGCGAGAGAGCGAACGCGAGCGCGCTATGCTTTTTCCACGCCATCGCCGCCGCCGCCGCCGCCACCGCCGCCGCCGCCACCGCCACCGCCGCCGCCTCATCGTCGAATGGCGGCTCAATTTCGCGACGGGAAACAACGAGTCGCGCTTATGGAAATTGATAGTTCCGATGAAAAATAAATCCGCCAACGCGACACGCTCGTCGAACGCCCGGAGATATTTCCGGGATTATTGTGCGCGAGATAGCGACGTTCATATCCACGATTTTCAGATAATTTTCCGCGAATAACGCGAATAAACGCCTATCTTAAATTATCAGTCAAACTCAGGTGAATTTACTGGCAGAAACTGTTCGAAAAGAATGCTCTATGAATAATTCAGATTTGAAAAAAATATATATATATTTTTATAAATATTTAAGCAGAAATCCCCATTTTACGGGGCAAGCGTTGTTCCGAGAAAAATAAAATTATTGCCCGGGCGATCTTCCGGCGGGGAAAGTATTCCGGTTCCGTTTCGAGGAACGCGCGGCGCAACACCTAGTTGGGTGGTATTTTGATCGGACGCAGGAGGCCAATCAATTTTCATGGCGGTTAAGTGCCTCGTGCGCGTTTCCTAAAACACAGTGTCGAAGCACCGTTCATTTCCTGCCCGTAAAACGGGTCCCCCCGCAACTATCTTACGAAGCGGAGTTTCTCTATTTCCGATCGTTTGCGGTTTCGCCGCTGCGGGAACACGGTCGAGCCGTGTTAAAATCGAAACCGCTTTTTTTTCGGATAGACGCCGCCAGACAGACGGCGATCACGTCTGTTCCCTAGGTCATCGACGACGTAGGAACGAGTAGGTAACGTTCGCGCTGATGAAGGTCGGCCTGACTATGAAGAGAGAAAAGTCATCATCGCACAAATCATGCGTAAAAATAAAACATAATATTAATACAAATTTATTTTTTAACACTTAAAAATAATTTAACGGCACGAGAACGAATATATATGTATTGTCGTGAGAATTAATGAATAAATTCCTCGTTCGAACGCTCGCGAGATAACGCGGTAGACGTTAACGTATACGTACGTATCTCCTCATGAGGAGGACGGGTGGAGGGAGACACGAGCGAAAGTAATAAAAGCACCGAGCGAGCGTGACGTGCCCGAGACAGAAATTGTACTTGTCAAACGCTTTTCCGTCGTTCCACGCTTTTTCGTTTTCAACTACGTGGCGCTGGAATTGCGCGCTCCCTTGTCGCGCGACAAACGACAGGCGACAGACGACAGCTCGAAAAAGGCGACAGCCGCTCCTGATCCGGTAGCGAGGCGCCCATTTAGGATGATTGCCCGATTTTATGTATTTATACCCGGGGAGCCGTCGGGGGCCTGGCTTTTCACCGCGCCGACGTTTTCTGTTTCTCTATCGCTAATAGGAATTCGTTTCGTTTGCAGCTTTGTATCTGTGCGGCGAGAGAGAGAGAGAGAGAGAGAGGGAGAGAAAGAGCGGCGCAGAAATTTCGCAGACGAGCGTATAAATTCCAAGTAAACGAGATAATTCTCGAGACCCTCGAAAGGTGACGTAGCTATAATCTTCGACGTGGTTTTGTAACTTTAAATCGCCGTAACGTTCGCCGCGAATCCCTTGTCGCATTATAATACATCTACTGTGTTTCAAGATTTTTAAATAATCGCGCGCTCGATTTCCAATTCCATGTAAGAAATATTATTACTTATATGTGGAATTATGTTAAAACTTGCAAGGGACACAGGGTCGTACATCATTCACGTTACGGCTCGTATATTCAACGAGGTTCCATCAAGTCTTACATTATTCCTCGACAGGTTGTATTTCGCGATCGTCACTATTTATTTTACGAGACTGTGAAAGTTGCCGGCCATCAAGCGTTTATCGTTGCGATATATAAGGATGTATAATTTTGCGACGCGTATTTATATCGGGATCATCATCTGGCTTAGACATTTTATTAAAATAGGAGCGAGCAGATGAATATTTTATGTCGGACTTTTTATAAGTCGTATTTACTACTAAGGGAGAGTTTCTCAAAAATTCGCCATTCATTCTACGTCCAATTTTTCGCAGCCAAAATTTGTCGTTTTGCCAAGGCTTTGTGACGGAAAATCCGACTACTGTTGCGACACTTGGATCAACGCAGGTTCACGATTCTCATGCAAGGTACACCTCGCGGAGGGTGCACGACTATATAGTCGTCGGCTGGCCACTCCCGTGGGTATTAAGACGGGAAAATGGCTGAAGCCTGGCCGTGGCACGTGCTGGTGTGTGCCACCCCGTGATGACTGACTCGTGCGTATACACGACGGAGACACCGGGTATACACTGGAGACAGGCGTGCACGCGCGCGCGCGCGCACGGTATCGTCAGAACATTTTAATATTTAATGCGATTAAACTCATTTCGTCCCGCCTCCCGTAATTGGTTTCTGATTAACAGCTAAGTTTCAAGCGCATTAGCCGTACGTGCAATAGTTACGTTAACACGCCCCGCCGACCAATAATCTCGAGTGCCTCCCGAAAATCGACGTCGATCTTTGATCTTTAATTGAACGGTGCTGATTTTATCACGACAGGCGCGCTTTCAAAACGTTATACACAACTTGCGGAACGAACGCGTTTTCCGTATTTCCGAGGCGGTGAGAACGCGCGAAATCCGAATGAGACCCGCGCTCCTAACCGAATCGTATAGATTCGATAAAAAATTAATCTGTTATTTCGTTCAAACGATCCTTATCGCCGGCGTCTGATACTCGGGGCCGAGAGGAGTCCGAGAAGTACCGTGTATTGCATCGGGAAGATAAGTTGTCCGTAGGGATAATCCACGGACTCAGCGGGTGTCTCCATTCGGCATGGTTTCACTCCATCTTCCGTTGACAGACAAAATCCCCCCCCAACAAGCCGAGTACCCACCAACGATCGTCCGCGATGTATTTCATCGACCGACTGTCCAATTAAGAGAACGAAACTTAATTAGCCGTCACGGAGTCGGGACAAACTCGAAGAAACGGTGGCGATACAACCGTACAAATATAATTCTAACAGTTCCAATATCAATCTATATGATGACTGTATCTCTTTTTTTCCCCGAGCGTCGCACAGATATGATGTTTCCGCATATATCAGTATAAGGATATGACGGTTCTGATAATAAATTATCATTGTAACTTAGTGATTTATGTGCATCAATAATTTATTTCGATTTGACTAAAACTAAGAAAGCTCTGAATTACGTACTAATTGTGAGTAACTTCTTTGAAACAATCACGATTATTATGTAACGATTATCATCACGCCGAATGTCCGCTTTAGCAATTGTCATCGTTCTGTCCCTTTTCCCATCACAGCTGAGGAACATAATTGTCCGTGTGAACGAGTTTCTTCAATTTTCCATTGTCCACCAAATCGCAATGAATCAACAGCGGCTACGGAGAAGATATTAACAGATTAATTTAAATCTCAGCATTTAAAACAATTCGTTATAATACTATTTGCGAAAGCGTTTAGATTTGTTTAAATGACAATTGTTTGCCTTGCAACAACAATTCTCTGCAATTAATATCAAAGTTAAAACTAACTTTTGTTAGTAAAAATGTTACTGCGTACATTGCTTTTCCATTATCGTTTTAAAGCAGTGTAGCTGTTTAAGATTTGTAATTCCGGGCTTGATGTGTATCGACGTTTTATTGCCTTCCTTTTTCCTAATGGACGTAGAAAAAAGAGAGGGCAATCGGCGTAAACGCCGATGCACTTCAGGTCCACGCTCCGACTTACAAATCTTAGGTGGCACCGTTTTAAAGCTTACTTGTTCATCGACGTTCCCGTACACCAGCATCCTTAGCCTTCTCAGTTCGCCGTTGGTGAAGTGTTCGTCCCCTGGATTGGAGACACCCAACGAGCTCGGGAACTCGGATCTCTTCCCGTTGGTCCATCCCTTACTGTACGTGAAGGTTTGGCATAGAACGGTGCTTATGACCAGCGACAAAACGAGAACGACTAATGCACATTTCTTGGCCATCTGTGGAAAGGCAATGAATACGGAGTGCGTACGTGGAGAAAATGTTTCATCCGCGCGAGAATAATATGCGGCACAGATAGAAACGAAAAATAAAAAATGAGAGACGTAAGGAGGACAATCGATATATATCACGATATGGAATGCATTCTTCTTCAAACATTGGCCCGTTAAATAAATGCGCAAGGACGAACGACTCGGCACTTATTGGCAGCTTTCAAAAACCGACTAATGACTTTCAAGCGTTAATTAGCGCAGAGCAATCGTCGATAACTCGCTGAGCGACGCTTGAATAATTCGACGAGTATTATTAAAACGGTCCTTCACTTTTACCGAGCGAATTTACATTCTCCCGATTTCCGGAGCTCCAAATTCAAATGGATTATATATAAGCTATTCACATTATACTATCGAAGACAAGCGTACGAGAGACAAGTGGCTTGTCACTGAGGCAATTACAATTTTTCTGATATCGGCAGCTAACAGTAAGCAGAAAGTCTTTTTACAGCGTCGCAAATCTCATGCAATCGTAATCAAATCGTTTGATTCGAGAGTTAAGAGAGAGAGAGGAAGAGGAAGTGCGCGCTTGCATTTATAACGTAGATTTAGCGCGAAGGGAAAAACAATAGAGAGACTACCTAACTGTCACGGTAGACTTGACGAGGCAACGATCCGTACGAAGCTGTGCAATTTAAAATTGCACGATCGCAAGTTTACACCACTACTACCATTGGCACGATTTTTTTATTTTTTTTCGTTAGGGATATTATTTTTGATTGACCGCTTGAATGCCAATCGTTGAATGGTAATAATGATGACGCAAACGATCGCAACGAACAATGCAACGCAGGGAAATGGCATTTCAAACATTTTATCGGCAATTACTTCCTTTTCTTTTCGTACTTTCGGGAATACTTGTAAATAAAATAAATTGTCCAATAAGCTATATTATGAAAATATCCTTTCGTTTACAATTAACGGATACATAAACGTTTAGATATCGAAGTGGGCTATTACGATAATTGCGAGACTCTTGCAGATCGCGTGTTTACATCGGTCTCTTTAAATTCTCATATTCATTAAAAAAAAAAAAAAAAAAAAAAGGAATGACGTGCGGATTAACGACTCGTGTAGTTACCGGACGAACCGGCATTTCTCGAAAATTTTCAACGCGCGCTCGACTTTTGTTCCGCGCGCTAATTTTAAGAGGACCATTAACGCTACGAGCGTCCCTGGTCATTAAGATAAGCGTAAGTGCTACTAAGTGTCCGAGCGGATAAGAGACGTGACCAGCATCTCCGTTAGCATATAGGGATGAAGCCGCGCGTTTGAACCGCTGCACAAATGCCAACAGGGCACACACAGTGCGTCGTATTCGCCAATAATATTAACCGACGTTTAATTTGTGTGGTAAAATGATGAAGAGAGGAGGTTTCGCGAGCAATTTGGAAAAATGGTGCGACAGTGTGATTATCGAAAAATTTCACTTTCCTCGCGATAATTCCGAGGTCTATTGAGGTTTTCTGAGGTTTAACATCTGCATTAAACATTTCTCTCGCGGTCAGTAAGTAAGACTCGCAGATAAGAATTATATTCTACTACAAAAAGCAACGTTATCTTTTTGTGACGCCGCGTACGTTCCTACTTATTATGCAGAGTGAGAGTACAGCGATCGATTAACCGACGTATCATTGGGAATTAATTAAATAGAATTACTGTGTGCGATCACGGAATAATTATCCTTTAACGTTTGGAATTTTCATCGAATACGCATTTAAAGCACGCGCGTTTCGTGGAACGGAATTAGAAAATGTCAGGGAAGCAATTTATTTCGCCGTGTGCGCGCACGTTGCGTCGAAGGTACGATATATCGTGGATTTTCCATTTCACGCTGACGGGCAATTTGTCGTACGTTTCGTAATCCATTAACTTCGTAACCGGATTGTTCCGTTTCTACGCATTCCCATAAGTCTGTATGTCCCATTATGTATCATTTTCTCTCTATTGATACTTCTATATTATTCGTATTACTCGAACTTCCCACGATACGCGAATCTATAATTTACAATAGCGATGGATTCCTTCGTTAAACGGCGTTTTACGAAACGAAACGAAACTGACTTTATTTAGAAAGTAACATGACAATATGCGCAAGCAGTACTCTATATTTCATTAAATTTCGTTAAATCTAGCTCTTTCTTTAAGTTTCATCGGTCAAGAGATTTAGTTTATCAAAACACTTCTTAAATAAAGTACAATATAAAAGTTAGACAAGAGATTTTTTTAAATGAAATAATACTATTAAGAGAATTTAATTTCAATAGAACATCGAATTGTAGGATTAGATATTCAATTAGATTAGAAGAAAATATATCTCTTTATTCAAATTTCTTCTAAAAAAAAAGATTAGATAATTAATTTAACTGGCGAGTCAATCGTCGAAATTGTTTAAAGCATAATCACCAACTAGATAGGTATATAATTTCTTATTCCTGATTTAATTTTTTTTCCATGTGTTAAACAACAACAAATTAATAATTCCATGTCAACAAAATACTTGATAAATTAATAATCAACTAAATTAATCGGAGATTTTTTCAAAATTTTTCTATACTGATAAAATTGTGATCACGTAAATCCACAAACTTTTATAGTATACTCTCTAACTAGATTGCTCACTCTGTCGATCTATATGATAGAAAGAGATAGAAATAAACTCGACCGCACTGATAGTGTCGTATATGCATACGTGCGCATATAACATGCATAATTGCCATGAGTGTATCGCGTGATTTAATTATGAGTGTATCACGTGAATATGTAATACATAAGAAGCACTATATAGTTTTTAGTCATTCTATATGTGTGAGCATTTTTAATATATGACATAAATATTGACTATCCTCATCCTTATAATTAGTTTAAAAAATGGTGATGAAGCGCGCGCGCGCGTGTGTGGTGTGTGTGTGTGTGTGTGTGTGTGTGTGTGTGTGTGTGTGTGTGTGTGTGTGTGTGTGTGTGTGTGCGTGTGTGTATAACAGTTTAATTAGGTAATTAGATAATCAGTACATAGAAGTTTTTTTATTAAAAAAATAAGAGATGACTTTTGGAAACAAGCTTAATCTTGCCAGAATATTATACTTTAGTTCTTTAGTTATTAGTATACAGAAATCTGTAAATCGTAAACGTTACGCCATCTGAAGTGGCTTTTCTCTTATATGTTTTATCATACAATTTTTATATTGTCTTTACTCTCTTTACCCACCGACTTGCCGGTGTTATATTGAGCGTCGATAAAAGTGAAAGTGATTATCAACGCACACACACGGAATGTATCTACCACGGATAAAGCAGATAATTTTTGTATAATATTCGCGGTGAGTATAAATAAAAGTATTAAAAAAAAAGTTAAAAAACTTGCTGGAGTATAAGAAATATTTCAAAAATTCTTATTTCAAAAAATTTTTAATCAATAATTCCCGATTCAATTATGATATAGGAAAAGCGGGATATGTGCGTACCTCGGATTTTCTTCGTTGCTGCGCTGGAGCGGATACGTTCTCTCGTAGAAGATGCTGCTGAAAGTGTCTCTCTCGATATGACCGAAGGGAAGCTTTATATAGGAGCTCCAGCATGCGACATCCCGTATGCCGAAGTAACGTCAATTATCAGGAGCCAAAAGATTATGCTCCTATAGACGGCGGTACACAATAAGACCAGTCATTATTGGTGATTAATATTAGTTGACATTGTGTGAAAATTAACCTATAAACTTTACGCTTTCATCAAGCGTATGGATATACCTCTAACACCGTTCGCTAAACCGGAATAAGCAACTGTGTTTCGTGTGTAATTAAATAATTGCGGGCTTAACGATCGTGTAGGACTTGTACTTATTCTATATAGATTTGAGCAATTCTGAAGTTATGAAGAATCATTTCGAAATTACTTCGTGAAATATAATATATATATATGTATGTATTATTAATTATATTGTATCTATTATCTGTTCTGTAATCATTTCAATTTCAAACATGCATATTTATAGCTGTTTGTTCGACGCAGTTAAACAAACTGATGACTATAGGGCGTGTTCCAAAAGAGAGACAGCTAATTGATATAATATAAAACCAGTAAATCACTCCATTCTTATTTCACATTGGAAAACAACAAGAAAAAAATGTTTCACTGTGTTACACTGTGTCCTTTCTTGCTGGAAAACGCCGTTAGTTATATTTAGCTAACAATAAGCACAAGGATGCTGTTGCGAAATCATATAGAGTAAAACTAATCCTTTATGTTCCTTTTTTTTTATTATTGGAACAATTTATTATATTTAAATATCTTTTCTCATATGATTGTATAACTCTCATATATTTTGTGATCAATTTTTTTTCTACATAAGATTTCTTTGAATTTTAATTATAATAAAAAAGATCTTTTTTTGTATTTTATTACAAATATACTCGTAATTTTTAATAAAATTATAATGCTTAAAAATTAAATGATCATATCATAATTTAATAATTTTTTAAGAGATTGTAAAAAATTATTAAAATCAGTACTTTTTAAAGAAAAGATACATAAAGGTCAAAAATATGATTTTTTTAAAACTATAATATTTATACTATTTATAGTCGAGTGAGGATTTTTATATTTAAAATTTGTTTTAAGATATCATAAATTCTTTGAAGATTATAGAAATTATATATATATATATATATTATATATACATATATGTGTGTGAACCTCATCGCTTTTTGATGTAACGAAATAAAATTCGTATGTAAAATCTCGCTCGTCGAGAAAGAAGGAAACTGGAAAACCGTTTGTATCCACCGCCCGTTTTATGTAGTAAGTAGTTCGAAGATCGAACCGCTACGCGACAGCGGCGATTCATCGCTTCACGATTGTTGCGTCAGACGCACGCGCGGTAGGTGGCAATGTCTTTTTACGAGCCGTGTCTCTCACGCTTGTCACCTTAGTTTTACGAACACGAACGCGCGTTTCGGTTGACACGCGTTTTCGCGGGTGAGCGATACAGGCAGGTCGTTGCGCGTGAAGTCGCTGCCGCCGCCGTCGCCGCCGTCGCCGTCGTCGTCGTCGTCGTCGTCGTCGCCGTCGTCGCCGCCGCCGCCGTCGTCGCCGCCGCCGTCGCCGTCGCCGTCGTCGTCGTCGTCGTTGTCGTCGAGGTCGTCGTCGCTGACGTTATCATTGTCATCATCATTATTATAGATGCTCATATGCACGGATCGCATCGCGTCGTCGTCGTCGCCGCCGCCGTCGTCGTTGTCATTGTCATCGTCATCGTCATCGTCGTCGGCGTCGTCGTCGTTATCACCGTCATCATCGACAGTGCCATCATTCGTTGTTCAACGTTGCTCCGACTTGTCGGGCAAACCCCCAGGCTAAGAGCCCCGGAGAAGACATGTCAATGTCAACACCGATATCGACATCGACATCGACAAGAGGATCGCGTGTGCCTCGATCGCGGCAGGCGCAGTGACGATTTCCGTCAGCATACTCTGATGACGTCAGCCGCGTTGCGATATGATGGAGTCCATCAGAAAATGGTTTTACAGGCCTAAGGTGAATACGTCGCGTGCTTCTCTGTGTACTCCGATTGCTTGTAAATTTGCTCCGTCCTTTTTTTTTATTTCCTTCTCATCTGCCTACACGCTATGTGTTCGTTATCTTTATCTCGCTGACTCTCTCTCTCTCTCTCTCTCTCTCTCTCTCTCTCTCTCTCTCTCTCTCTCTCTCTCTCTCTCTCTCTCTCTCTCTCTCTTTCTATTTTGTGTATGTGTGTGTTTCTCTCTATTTCTCTTTCTGATCTCTATACATTTTATATTGACCCTGCTTTGTATTTATTTTCTTGGTATTATTTTAGTTTACGTTTTAATGTACATTCCCTTAAATTTAATTGTGTGCCATGTTTCGAGAAACTACATCTTTTGCTCTACCATTTCAGTAGGACTATTTTCTCTTTCTTTCGCCTCTCGCCCCGCCGTGCCGATCGAACGCGTGCGCTCTTTTCCCCTCTCTCGTTTCTCACCGCGACGGACTTCCCAAACGCTGTTGCCACCTGTTTCGCGAAAATTTCGCACGACACGAGGTGCATATACGCATACGACACGGTGCCTACGCACTACATGTGCACAGCATTCGCGTGTCGCACATTTTTGCGGGCGTGAAATGAACTCGGTGATGGTTCTCGCGAAATCGCGTTTACGAGAGCGGTCACAAGGCATATTGGAAAGCATCCAAATATCCTACACGGTTTCCTCAAGTGAAAGTCGACGGGCGCACTCGCGCAAGTTTATTCCAATTTGAGTCTGGAAGTGCCCGAGTGTTTTCGAGTATCTCTCACTTCTGTATACCTGCTTGTACAAGTTTTGGGCGAGCTATGCATTTATCGTGCCGCGACGATGCCATATGCCGTGCCAATACGATCGATTGAAATTGAAATAAAAGAGTTCCGAGAATAAAAAAAAAGGAGATAAAGCTGTATACATTACATCACATTTAATGTGGTACAAGCATGTATATAGGTTTCTTACATGCCCCTCCCTCTCATCCGTTTCCCTCCCCTTCCCCTCCCCCCATTTCGCTCCGCGCTGCACGTTAGATCGCACGACGTCTCGATGTATAATAGAACACGCGTAGAACATATATATATATATCGCCGTATTGGAAAAATAAAACTCCACCCTCGAGACTTTTTGTCCCTCGTTTCATTTTCATTTAATCTTCTATCTCGTATTGTGTTCGACCGAATTACATGGCTAAACTGCGACAGGGGGGAGAGAGGGGGGGAACAGGTATCCTCTAGGATATGGGAAGTGTTACGCTCTCGCATAATGACGCTTTATTAACACCATAACGCGCGCCCACGAGCCATGCTGCAAGTCAATTAGTAATTTATGCGGGGAGAAATAAAGGGGACGGTTGAGGGAATCGGCCTTCTCTCCACGAACGCCGCAGAAATGGAGCGAGACCGCTTTGTTACCGCCTGTGAGACTTGAAGTGCTTAAAAAGCTAACTGGGTCTCTCTCTCTTTCTCTCTCGTAATGCCACACGTGACTTTGCGCAAGACGCGCGTCGTTCGATACGCGCACGAATGTAGCAAATTCCCGACGTTAGATTCCTTTAACGCGAGACAGACAGACAGACAGACGATAACAAAGGCGGACGAGTTTTATTCGATTGTAGTAAATTAACCGCTTCATGTCTCGCGTCTCTCGTCGCGGTGAGCAAAAGTCGGAGTGTGCTTTTAATTTAATATCGTCACGCGCGATACGACGCGATAAGAATCGCGTATTTAACGCCCGAGTGTGAAGTTACATCGATTCCCGACGATTAGCGTGCAACAAAATTTTCCACATACGCGTTATCTACATTTTTTTTTTCTCAATGCTTCTTTTCCTTCGGACGCGAATGCAACATTGCGAGCGCAACGCGACAATGGAGATCGACGAATTCAAATGAGATACAGGCGCAAAGTCCAGCCCGCGCGTGATATTAAAATAAATGCTTCGGATATATGCATTGCGATACTCTGCGGGGAAATGTCTCGGTGAGAAATGTCTATGGAAGGTATAACTACTATATTGGAGACTTGTCGGAAGGAGAAAAACAACTGTAAAATAACTGTTTTTAGCGGCACTATTAATAGCCGGCGAAGCGAGGATACCGTTTTGATAAGAAACCGCGGCGACATTGTCTTATTTGGGAAGAGATCGAATCGCGCTGCCAGGGTCATCGATTTCTCATTAATTACACACGAAGTCACCCAATGTCACATGTGTGTCTTTGTGTCGCAGTAGTCAAGATACCGATAAGATAGTTGCCGGTATATACGATACGATCTTGTTTTGGGGAAAAGGAGAAGCTCATGCATGACGAGACAAAGAGAAAGAAACGGACGCGGATGAGCGGAGATAAAGATGCGCGAGGGCGATACAGGGTGGCGCCAGAAAAAGGGAGTCAACGACGCTCGACGGGATGAGTCGCGCGTATTTTTTTTTTGTCTCCACATCCGATGACATTGCCCGTGCGAAACGAACGTGAATTGTATCCACTGCACGGTAGAATTGATCGGTAGAATTGCTGCAGTGCTCGTCGAAAAGCAGCAATTCGCACGCTCGACGCACGCGACGGTTTAAAGTTCTGAAGCATTCTTACGCGATTCTCCGTATGTAACGCGAAACTGTGTATTCACTCCTCGCACGTTGAATTTTAATCGTCGCGCTTTGCGTGTGACAGTCCGTCATTCACCTGCCGACGCAAACTTTCTAGTAAATCATCGTTACGAACTGTTGAGCGCACAGCGAAATTGTAAAGCAGAGCGATATTTTGAAAGAACGAGCGAGGGAGAGAGAGAAAGAGAGAGCGAGTACGTCCGAACTGTTTCCTCTCCCTCTCTTTGTCGGATGACAACGACTTTGTTGCCGCAAAATAGGTCACAATTAGTTTGCTAAAACCCGGTACCACGAATGGAGACGATAAAAAATTAAATCCAGGCCATAAATCCTAATAAATCGTACAATGTTACTGAACACAAACGTTTCGAGTCTATCCTTTGTTCACTCTTGTTCGATCCTTCGAGTTAAACATTGTTGTTCCAAGGTGAGAGGTATGACTCAAGGGAGATTCGATAATCGTTCAGTCGTCAGTCTAATTGAATGTAAAACAAGCGTTGACTCAAGTCGATTAAACGACCGACATATCGACTGACGTTTTTGCGCAACAGTATTTATTACAATTTAAAGTTTTACACTTCGAGTTTTAAAAGCAAAAAAGAGAAAAATGTCCCCGAATTTTTTTGATCCTTTAAACAAAAGCTCGTGGACGGCGTTTTAGCGTTTGTGATAAAATTGCTGATTTTTCGTACGTCATGTCGCTTCGCAAAACAAAAATTATTCCGTGTATTTTTACGAATTTTACAATCGCGCGGAGCAAACGATACAAGCATATCGCAGAATTGGTCTCACGAATTCTCTGATATTATTTAATGATGTCCTTTAATGGAGCTTACGTTACCTTGACAATATTGAATTTTTACGCCGGTATTGCTACCATCCCAGCTTGCGTCACATCCCGACAAGATTTGTTTATGACGTCAGAAATGTGAAAATATACAGATATACAGACAGAACGCAAATGTGATAATATTGTAGAACGCGCGCAAATTCCGTACAGGAAGTTTTAGTCACACATTCTTGGAATATTTTAAAATACGTATTCGGTAATAATGCTTAAACTTAATGCGATACGGAAAAACTTTCTGGCGGAATTATCGGAGTAGTGAATTGCCGCGGTTACGTTATCTTTTACACTACGATGACAAAAGCGAAGTTGTAGATATGTACGAAACTTGTAAAATTTTGTATGTCACGGTGAGTTCGCTTCGTTGAATCTTCTCGTTCTCATCGTCGTTACAGAGTAAACTTTCACGCTCACAATTTAACCGCGATTATCGTTATGAGAAAATTATTTTTTTATTTTTTAGGAAGACACAGAGATGATACTCCCTACCCCCGCGTGCTTCTTCCACGTGAAATTCTTAAAAGAGAAGTCACTGTCTAAACGATTTCGCGTTTTCGTTTCGAACATATCCCGGGAACAGAATTAATGCCATCGTTCGCAGTTTGCAGAAGTAAAAAAAGCAAAAGTTCGCCCCTCGCTGAAACTCGTGTACTTATTATGAAGTACTGCGCCTCTCCTTACGCAAATCACGGTGTAACATTGTTCTAGTTTTACGATATCGATACGAGGGGGTTAATCGATTTATTTGTCACGCCGCGTACGTACCTACGTAAGCATGACTCCTGAGTCATTTCCAGTAGGACATGATTCAATAACAAGTACATCCGTACCGTGACAAACGTTGCACCGTCATAGATTCATGTGCACCCAAAGCATGTTATTATTAGCACGTTATTGAGTAGCGCACACACGCATGGCACACATTAATAGTATCATTATAATATACACTACAGCACAAAAGTTTGGAGCATTTTATATAATTTTTTTTTTTAGATAAAAAACACGGATATTTTTATTTTTATTACAGATTTTATTGAAAGTATCGATTTTTATTTTTGAAACGTACGCCATTGGAATAAAATTTGTGATTAAAGCAATATACTTTTGCACATTTACAACGTTAGTGAATAAAGTTGATTAAATTCTTTTTAAAATTAAGGTTGCTCCAAACTTTTGAGCGGTATAAGTGTAAATAAGAGAACAAAGATCATTTTTTCTTTGCGATTTTCTCGCTATTTTTTTAACGAGACTGCCTTTCTACCTTTAATGAGAATAATCTCAAAATTTAATTAAGAAAAGAACTTGAACCCTGTTCTATTATAAATGGACCTTTTTGTTTTATTATAAACGTATTTTTTTTTTAATATAAAATCCTTATCTCTGCATCGATAAAACAAGAATAAATCTGTGTTTGAACTTTGCGCAATCGATGATCCGTAAATAACGAGTTGCGATCACACGCGATTGATTTATCTTACTTTTAAATATATTTTCTTGAATAAATCATTTGTTCTATACGTGCCGGGGTTGCTCTTTGCGCGTAAACTGCTCTTTTCGTAAATTCCTTCACAGAGTCGGGGTTTAATCAATATAAATTAAAACCCCCTTTAATCGGGCATTTTTCGAATCGGATTCCGCGTCGTAATCGGATTTAAAGGCCGGCTTTTCTAAAAAACGAGGGATTCGGAATCGCCGCTTTCGTTGAAACGTACGTGCCGCCGACGCATTTCGGACGCGATTTAGAGCTTACGGTCATCGTACGACCTACATTGCTTGCACAAAATGTTAAATTCATTATTATCTTGAAATACCATGCTCGACGTTATAATATCGTAATACATTACGATAATTCATAATCAAAGTGCTATGTCCCCATAGGTTGTCTCGGCATTATTATCGCATTTTCGTCACGAATAAAATGCTCGTCAGACAGAAATTGCGGGTTCCGCGGACGATTAAATCGATTTCACCCTTTACCCTATACGACGTCATATGGGTAGTACAAAATTCATTCAACGGGAATAATATGGTAGGTTTCACCGTCGCGCCCTTTAATCATGTGACGTGGGTGACCCTTTCATTATGACGTAGACACGATTAGACGTGTCATTGTTCAGATATGTGGCTCGTCAGTTTACAGATACCGCGGACTTATCCCTCGCAAGTTAATGCGGGTGGAAAATCCCCCATTTGTTTTTCAAGTCCGAAGGCGATATGATTCACAATTATCTCTTAAGCTTTAATCTCAGATGTTTCTTTGCTTAATCCTCCCCTCGAATATACGAAATACTAATTGAAATGAATTTTTAAATTGACCTTTCTAATCGATTCTCTATACGTTTTTGTCGTTATACAGAGGGATGACACAAGTCTACTGGCTCAATTCTTTTACGCCGACGAGTCTCTGAACGCAGTCGCCTGCGAATTGGACTCCTTCGACGGTCGACAAGAGCCGGAGAGATGCACGACGCTGGTGAATCAGTTGCGACACTGTCAGGATAAGGTGCTGACAATCTGCAATCAAATAATGGACGATTTGATTCCGGAAAGCCGCGCCAATCGGGACTTCAGGGTGAAATTCCCTGATGACGTGATGCAGGAGAATCTGGCCGGGCAGCTCTGGTTCGGTGCGGAATGTCTGGCTGCCGGTTCCTCGATCATGAACCGAGAGGCCGAGAGCTCGGCGATGAGGCCGTTAGCGAAAGCTCTCACTAAGTCACTGGAGATCGTCAGGAATTTGTTGAGAGAACACGCGCTCAAGGGTCACATGAATTTGAAGGTATTACATTGTATAAGTAAAATTTACGATTTTAATTAATACGATTGAAGCGTAATCAAGCGTATTAATAACGTTTAATTTTTCCAGGCGCAAAATCCTCTCGAGCCGTCTCTGGAGAAGCTCATCGAGTCGTTGAAGATCTTCGATCGACTGTTCGCCGATTTCGAGCTGTGCTATGTCGGCGCTATGGTACCGGTGAAATCGACAAAAGAGTACGAGCAACAGGAGCTCGTATGCGTATTATTTTCAGAGACCTTGCAGCGAGCGCTTGAACGCGGACTGTTGGACCAAGCGGATGTAGATAACTATGAGCCAGCTTTAATGTTCACTATCCCTCGCCTGGCTATTGTCTCGGGACTTCTGGCACCACCCGGGGGACCGTTGTGCCTCAATTCGCCTGACACCATAAGCGAGATGTTTAGGCCATTTAGAGTAAGACATTGTGACTTGAAATATTGATTCTTATATTGCTGATCGTAATTTAACGATTTTGTTAAAAATTTCCATATGATGTGGATTATAAGCATAGAAAGAGGCAACTCTAACTTTTTTCAATTTATAATATGATGATCAGTTCATTTATCTTTACAATTAGTAGCTAAGTATCGTCTTTTCGACAAGTATAACAATTAATTAATTTTCAGACTCTCCTTCTCAAGATAAGAGAACTATTATGGACGTTGAATAACCGCGAGTTATACATGTTGGAGAAGTTATTATGTTCGAACGAGGAGCCGTCAAGCTCGATCACGCACTCGACGAAATCGGCGTGTCCGGACATACCGGATTTGGAAGAGTACGTTCATAATTTTTATACCGGTTATCCGAACTGCAAGGAATTTATCGTTGATTTCTACACTGTGACGAGAAACACGGGCAACAACATGGACGAGGTAGCGAACGATGCGGTTCAATCGTTGGACGAGAGTAGCAGGAGCGAACGGTTATCGAGCAAGAAGCGCGAGCAGAGCAGAAATGGTGGACGTAAAAAGAAGAGAAATGCGGAAACCGAGTGTGAAGATTTAAACATATCCTCGGACGGGTGTGATAGTAACGTAATATGTGACAGCGCCGAAAAGATGCAGCAGAGTGATGGGGAAAGTGCTGGTGAACGAATACAATACGAACGGGAATTACCTGACACTCCGCGCTACATTAGACAGTTTCTTCGTGACTGTGATTCAATTTCTAACGACGGGAACGACGACAGTCCCGGCTTGGTGGTACAGAATGACGTTGCGACGGCAGACGTGGTAGCGGGAACCAGCGCTTCGAATACCGTCGAAGACATGCGGAATGAGGAAAGCTTCGTTACCCCCGACTTGACTAGAATATTCGAGGAGTGTTCCGACAACATTCCACAAACGCAGTATTTGCTTAATCAAGTAACTCGCGAAAATACGATAGACAGTGAAGCCGCGCACATATCCGAGGACACTTTTCCCGATTCAGACTCCAAGAAACTTATCTCGGAGGCGAATAAAACGCTCTCAAATCTTCTACTGGACTCCAGCGAGTGCCCGAATGAGATTTCGGAGCAAACAGACTCTGGTATATGTACGGTCATATCATCCGAGAACACCAGCTTGTATGACAAGAGCCCGGAAGAAAAGAAGACTTTTGCCAATGAGATTCAGCAGGAGGGATGCGGCGTATCGGACGAGGAAGATACGCAGGAGAATACCAGCTATTCTTGCTCCAATATGAACTCGCCAAAGAAGAAGAATCCTACCATTTCGGAGAATTCTTGTGTCTGCGGCACGAAGAGCGCTAGCAGCAAGACGACGCCTACCTTGGATCATTCGATCGAAGTGTCCGGGCTGCACTCGAACGGCGACAGGGAATCCGCCAAAAACATTCCACGAATATCGTCGAACTTCAACGGCACTAACGAGGAATTCATCGGCGTTGCGTACGGTAACGGCCAATTGACTCTCTGTGATTCCAATCAGTCCACCTTTCAGATAAACTATTCGGAGAATTGGGAAAATCTCAATTTGAACATAGACGCGTCGAGCTCCAGGAAGGAGTTCTGGGGTGACTTAAAGTGCGAGAATTGCCCGTCCACGTCTCGAAGTATCGATAAAATCGAAAAGTACACGCAGGACAAGGCGAGAAGAACGAGGGACGAGAAGCAACGGCGGCGGCATCAACACAAAGTGGAACGAAACACGCACAAGGCTCACGGTAGATCGGGAGACAAGAGACACAATCTGCAGATTATGCGAGCGGCCACAAGTACCGAGAGCTCTCGATCGAATTCCATGGACCGATGCTTGAACGCCCGATTGACCAGCTTCAGCGCCAGTTTGCACCTCGGCCAGAGTACCAGGCAGATGCCGAATTTTGGCAGTCGCAGTCCTCACATAAGTCCGCGACTTCATCACTTCGAGTCGCGCGGGCAATGCTGCTGCAATGGCACGCATTGCGTGAAGAACAAACACTCGTCGCCACACAGCAGAAAATTGCTGGATCACAGAAGATCCAAGTCCGAGCAGATTGCCAGAATGCGGAAAAGAGATGTCGAGAAGAGGGAGAGGTACGAACGAGAGAAATACGCGCGCTTAGAACATGGTAAGAGAAAATCCGGAAACGGAAGTAATCTAATGAACGACGGATTGGGCCCGAGGACGGACAAGAGCGGCTTGGTGTCGGAGATCGCAGTAACGTCGCAGAACGTGGTCTGTCACGAATATCAAAGTGCAAAGGACAGTAATACGCGCAGGTCTGCGCGAGCGAGGAGATTGGTCAACGCATCGACAGTATCCGGCGTGTCGTGTTTAAATTCCCATCAATCTTCGAAATACAAACCCGATGTAGCATCAAGTTCCAGTTGTTCAAGCTTCTGTGACTCGAGTTCGGAAACCAGCGAATTTCATAGCGACTGTCAGGACGATGAAGAGATTGCATTAGCGATGCAAGCCGCCGAGATCGCAAATAGAAATCAAATCAGAGCCAAATTTCGGTAAGGGAACATATTGTTACTTTATTCACGTGCCGTTGCGTGAACGATAACGTAATTACGTTTTGAGTCAGTCTCCGTTAATATTTGAAAGATACTGATATTTATTAGATTACCTGAAACTTAATAAAATTTACCTGGATAATTCATTTGCTTTACATACATATAATATTTGATTTATATATATTTTTTTTAAATTTATTTTTACTCTAAGTTTTTTATATTTTTTATTTATATATTCCTATTCTTCATCTTGTTTTCTTTATTGATGCATTTATTTTAATATATTTTAATATATGTAACAATCTCTTTTATCCATATTAAAATACTGCTGTTATTACATTTTCAGATCCTCGGAAGATCTCGTTCATCGCCTCTTCGTTTGCATAGCAGGCGTGGCGGATCAGTTGCAAACAAATTTTGCATCGGATTTACGGAACATTTTGAAGTGTGTTTTTCTCATGAATAGCAGTCAGGCAATAGAAGACACCGAAGAATCGAAAGATCAGAACTTAGCTTCCACGGTGAATGCACCAATAGACACGGCGGAGACAGGAAGTATTCACGAGCGACAAGAATCGTTACCCGAATATGAAGATGTAGAGGAAACTGCTATGATACACGACCGAAGTACGGATATGTTGACTTTCTTATTCGTGAATTTAATTTCAATTAATAAATATGTGTCGGTTCATTGTTAGTATTTGAACATTTTAAAAATTTGATCTTTGTGCATGTATATGAATAGAAATATTTGTTAAATATTTAATTCAAACTTTTTTCCCAAAAGATATAAATCTAAACTATAAACACATAATAAAACATAATTGTAAGATTATTTTTATAGACGAGTACAAAAAATTAAATGTTTTAGCTTCAATTTGTGTAAAATATAGTATAATATAATTTTTTTTTTATTTCCGAGCAAAATATTAATCTTTTCATAAGCAGAACTGCATTCAAAAACTTGTTAAGCTTCTCTTAAGAAATAAACATTTAATACACAATTACATAAAAAGTTATGTTAAATATTATCATGTCGGTCTTTTTTTTTCCTGTAGCATCTCCTGTCACCGAGAGGGGGGAGGAGTGCGTCGAGAGAGCGCCTGCTTGGGTGCCAGACAATGACGCGCCAAGGTGTATGGCTTGCCAAGCGGGATTCACGGTTGTGCGACGTAGACACCATTGCCGAAATTGTGGTAAAGTGTTCTGTGGTCGTTGCAGCAGCAACAACGTTCCACTGCCTCATTTCGGGCACACGAAACCTGTAAGGGTGTGCAACAGGTGTTTCCTGTATCAAGTGACGCCTTTTACGGTCTCTCAAGTCTCATCCACCAGATGAATATTTCTGAAGTGGCTTGTGAAATCTAATTATTTTTTATCGAATTCCCTACGCTACGATACACTTCCTTTTCAATATACAAAATACTCGTGCAAATTTGGCAGCCATAATTTTCATGATAAAACAATTAAATATTCTTTTATTCCATAGTAAAAAAAAATAAATCTCAAATCTCTCGGTAGAGCATCTAATTATGTGATACAATCGTCCGGTGTTAAAAAGTTTAGTTTAATGAATTAACCGCTATTCCGTGAGCCGAAACATGTTATTCAATTAGTTAATTGAAGCAAATGTTTGAATTACGCGAGTATTTACTCTTTTTTTTCTTATTTCTGAAATGATACTAAAAGGTATATTGAATATATATATCGAAAAATCTAGTGACAATTTGATTTATCCAATTCTTCATGTATAATTTGTAAAAAGAGAAACTGTAGAGAGATACGTTTGTACAATAACGAATAGAAGAATTGGAGGCAAATCGCCGTCACTAGATTGCTTTCGTGAATTATTTATACACTTATGTGCACTTAATCTATAAAATTAGATATATAGGCGCTAATCGCTCATATTTTTACACATCATGATTAAATATTTCTTATAAAGGTGTTAATCCAATTTGTAACAGCTGTGGCAATGTAATTTGATTTGGGTGTATGGTGTAAGATTTATCGTATGCATATTCATTTCAACGTTCATTTAAGAAAATTCTTAAATGTCTTCGTTTAAGCAATTGTAGAAGATAATTTTCAGCCGCTTCTGTATATTATTCTTTTATTTTCTTTTATTATTTTAGTTATTATTCCCCATGGATTTTGATTCTAATACAAATTCGTTTAAATTATTTTATAATAAATTATAAAGAAATATTAATTTCTTAAGTTATATCACTGTGCAGAAGCTTATTATAAACTGGTGATTTATTTCTGTCAGAGATGTGTGTGATAAAACCTTCCCCGTTCTGTATTCTAAAATAAAAATTAAATAAAACTAATAGGTCGTTAAGTTATCGATATTTATAACAACTACAAGTGTAAATAATATTCTTGGTACATGATTATAAACTTATATAATATAAATATTATTTAGAATTATTAAACGAAAGCGTGGAGCACACACATATATTTGAAAAGATTCGGACTTAAGTAAAACATTAATTTCAAAGTTTCAAGTCAGTCGCAGTAAGTGATGAGTGTTGTTTCGATGTAAAAAATTTCTTTCTTTCAAAATATCTAGATTTTCTTGTTACAATAACCGAAAGATTGTATTCAGAACTTATGTATTTCCAGTATAGCTTGATAATCGATAGTTGATTTTCCATGGAAAGCAAGCTTCCTCGTGGAAGTTTAAAGACTTACACATCACACTTTCAAAGAGCGTCAAATTATATATATAGTGTACATACATCTGTGTAATGTATAATGTATACATGTATGGGAATACGTATGCACGTTTAAACGAAAAACGACGAAGGGAGAACAGAATGAAAATTTCACGTTCGCAGTAGTTGGGTCTCACGCTGTAACTTTATTATCGCGATAGAATTTCTAAGCGTCTACTGCCCGCTGGAGTGTTTTGAAGAATATACACAGGGTGCGTTAGCACACAACCATTAGCTCCTGTGCCAAATTTACGACAATAAGTTTCCTCTTTCTTATATCTCGCACGAATTTGGTTCCTATTGGAAAGCTCGTACAAGATACTTCCCATTACTGTGAGACATTGTGTTGTTACGTTAAACATTTCGGGACTGTATTCGTGACAGACGACTACACGGCGTGGTACATACGTGCGTCCCATGATTGATAAAAAGACTGGTTGAATGTACAGATTTTTCGCTCATTAACGTTTCATGAATTTGTATGTTTGATGTGTATGAGTGTATGTGTGTGTGTGTGTGTGTGTGTGTGTCGCAATTAATATAAATTTCAAATAATAGATTTATATCGTTACCAATTTTGTTTTTAATTATGTTTTATTGTAAGAAAATGTTGATTTTTTACAAAATGAAAAACTCATAACGATCAATTCCATCAACAGTTTTTCTCGAATTTTCGAATCTTAATTCATCAAGGTTCAAACATCGACATAGATAAAAATTGATTTTTGGCATTTGAAACAATTAAAACACAATATTTAATTTAAACAATTATTGGCATTTAAAACAATTAAAACACAATATTTAATCTAAAAAATGATAAAATCGACACGTGTCTGTCAACATAAAAATATAGGTTCACATCACGATTATGTATAAACGATTATGTAAATTAACGGTGATTCAATTTGCTGTTTAATATCACGAAACACGTTAATTGAAAGCGACGTATATCAATTAATCTGACATTTAGACACATAATTACGATTATCGATTTTCATATGGAACGTAGCATGTAATAATGTTCTCTAAAACGAACTAACGAATATAGCGATATCACTCGGCGGGGTTGGATTTGGAGATTGTTGTATATTATAATCGCGTGTGCGTATATTGTAAACTACAGGTTAGGACTTTTTACCATTTGAGGAAAAAAAAAAATTGTATGTCAGCGAGAGTGCTTATAAGTCGTGAAAAAAAAAAATTAGTAAAAAGAGAGAAACAAAAAAGAACTTATTTCTGTGTAAGAAGCACATCGAGTAGGGAGTATATACTTTTAGATTACAGATGATTAGAGACGGAGAGTTATTTTTTACACGTAATCGATGCCTTGCTAGAATATCGTGCTTTCAATTTCGAACGCGACGAAAAGCCTCTGGCTAAAAAAAATCTAGCGATTAAGCGCGAACCGCCGCTAAGCATCTCATCTCCCCTAAATACGAATCATTTTGGTAATCAGGTTTTCCCCTGTGCCTAAATTATCACAGGCACCAAACTACATTAATATTGGAACGCTCCGACGCGCTTAAAAGTGATCTGAGAGGGATAAAAATGGTATATCTTGATAAGATACTCTGGTGAAAAGAATTCTTATAATCATATTTTAAGTTTAGGAAGATATTTCTGGAAAAAAACCTTAAATTTCTTCAAATTTTGTAAGTTTTCTTGGGAAATTATGAAATGCAAAATCAGAATATTTCAGAATTCATTCACATATATAAAGAATTCTAAAAAAAAAACATAGACTGTCTCATCAACACTTCTGGAAAATGTTTCAATTCGTACAAAAAATTTGAATTTGTTGTTAAAAGTTATATAATTATATAGAAATTCTGAAAAATTATATCAAGAATTAACAGAAAAATTTTTGCCAAAGATATCTCTCCTTTTTCTCTTTTATCTCAGAGAATACAATTTAATAATAAAACTTATTCGATGTTCTCTATAAAAGGACATAGTAATAAAATATAGAGCAATATACTGATAATAGATTCGATCAAAAATTGCTGCATCAAGGAAGGATTGACTCATAATCGGCAAGTAAATTAAATGAAATTTTAAATTCAGTTTCAAACTTTACTCCATGTATGTATGTATGTATACATGACTGTTGTATAAGAGATTAAAGAACTTTCTACAGAGTTGAAGGAAAACTGACAGTCATAGTCCCAATTAGGGACAAATATTCAATAAAGAAGAAAAAAGTAAAGACAAGTAATCGGCGCGCAGTTTGCATAAATTGAAAAATGTATATAAATTCTCGTAAAAATATTATTATAAGTATTAAGATTCGCTTTGACCGAATAAGCTTATATTTATCATTATTAAATAAAGAATTATCTCTCAATAAATCTAATTCTCTTTCTCCTCTCTCTTTCTCTCGGAATAAACATTTCATACGAAGCTTATATGGGAAGGAGAGTTCCAATATTATTATAGTTCAGTGATCGCAAACTAGCAACTAGCCTGTGAATATGAATTAAACGAAGAAAATAGAAAAAGGAAAAAAAGGAAAATAGATATATGTAACAAAAATTGAAGAAATGAAATGAGATATAGGGTGGATCAAAGATCACGATATCGCAAAAAAATTCGAATAAAGAGGAGTTAATCGTATTTGTGCGAAATAAAAATTAAAAAATAATATAATATCGATAACATTGGTTGATGTTAACGGAATTAATATTATAAAAGAAATTTAAGATTTATTTCAAATTAAACGACTGAAATTATATATTTTGTTGATTGACTATATGTCATTTCTCTTTCGGCGTAGTGATTTTGATCCACTTGACACATCGAGGGGCTTACGATTTGCCAGTTAATTAAGATATTTTCATTACAAAAGGCGACAAAGTGTACCCCTCTGAATTATTTTTATATTATTTGCCTAAGTGTACGTATATGGAAACGTATTCTTAGCACGTTTGACGTTTGATAATGGATTATCTCGGAAGGCGCATGATCGGTTTGTCGGAATAACGATCAGTAAGAGCGTAACCAATGGCAAAACAATTTATTATTAATTGCTGTTGACGATAGTACCGAATTCGCTTGCGATCCATATCGGAAGGATAACGATACGTGAGATGTGTCACGTGTTCACGATTTTGGCGAAATAAAAAAAAACACTTGTAGACGAATGAAATTATATAGATGGATGTGTGTACATGTGCGTGTGTGCATGGGCGTGCGTGTATGTATATGTATACGTGCAAATAACAAACCTTATTCGCAATACATCATGAGACGAAATTGTCTCTTTAATATTTGAATGCACTGTGGTTTCGGTAATGGATGTATTCACACAAACACAAATATAAATAAAGTTTGTTAATTAAAATACATATGTTTCTAGAGTCTTTTATTGCTTCAAATATATGTATTAAAATCTGTCGAAAACAGATTTTGCAAAGAATCTTCATCTCTGTGGAATGTATAAGGCGACATTTATATTATAAAAAGGAAAAAGCAGAATAGAGAAATAAAATTTTTCGAATATCGCAAAGTTGTCTGGTAGCTGCATATTTCTGCTTCAATAATTTGAATGAACAGAAATTCGTTTCCGGCAGATGTCTCCATATTCTTTCCTGCTGACTCACGAAGTCGAAAAGTTGATAATTATTGATTGGTTAATTAATCCATATGCAACAGACAAATACAAACGCGAATTTTAAATGTTTAAAAAAGCTTAATCAAAATTTTAATGAAAATTTTTTTAATCTCCGGAAAGACTAAACATCAAGTCTATTAAAATATAAAGTTTTTATAAAATTATATTTTAATTTATTCTCAATATTAATTACTAATATCCGAGATTAAAATTTAAAAATTGCGAGCAATAGAATATTTACTAAAGGCCTCAAATTCATGAAATCATAGCGAGTAAAAATATACCATTGCAGATTAGATACTCTTTATATATTTCTCTTTGAGTATTTTCTACGCTATATTAACCTATACTATTACTGACATTTATTCGACTAAAATGAAATAAAAATTGAAATAATCATATCATATACAATATAAAAATCACTGGACTTCTGAAAGAAAAAATACTACACATCTCCCACATCAATGTATTAATAACAAAATTTGCAGCATAATATTAATTCTGTTACAATTCTCTGCGATTGAGTTAAATGCTCCAATCTCCGTTGACATCTTAAATAGTTAAAGCGTCACACGATATTAACTAGGGATCATAAAAACATCTTGATTAATTCGAAGCAAAGACTATCTCCACTCTCTCTGTCTCTCTCCTCTCTTAGCGATAGCACCAAAATGATAAAAAAATCTCTGGGAAATCCTTTTGATTTTTGTAACAGTTTTTTTTATTTCTTGTCAACTGTTACTTGTATTAGCAAGTATCATGGGGTGTATGTCAAGTATTTGTAATGTATGTATAGTTATGCTTCATGGCTTCTCCAGCACGCGTTCCTCTTAACTCATCAATTACTTATTGTTACAACTTTGTTGTAGGAAATACCTGAAAAAAAGTTACATCATATGTTACATTTTATTCTCACGTTAGTAAATTATGTTTTCTATCACGCCAAAATATCGATATTAATTACCTTAGCATTCATTCTTAAGCTTCAGGTGTAGCTAACGGGGCTTCTTTCTTCTCTTCAATAATAATGGCGTCTTTTTTCTCGCCATTGGGTTTGTCATTTTCATCCAGTTCCTTTTTGGGAGCCACCTTTAAATGTTGCAGATTTATATATTAAATATGCTCTTACAAATAATGTAAAATTCCATGTATTAATAAATTATTTAAAAAAAAATGATAACACAAGATTACAATATCTATGAATTTCAATGAAAATAGACGTACAATTTAATACAAATACAACATAATAATATATATAACAACACAGAATACACATATAAAAGTGTAGCAGCTCACAAAATATATATATTTACAAAAAGTTTACGTTTCATTACAAATTCATCAAATTTTACGAAAATTGTGTTTCTTCCTTTGTCACCTCATCAATTATTACATAATATGAATATTCCGATATTGTTCTAATTTTCTCTTTACCTCCTCTTTGCTGGCTTCATCAAAGTTCTCCACTAGGTCGGGAACCTCGTCGTCCTCTTCCAATGTGGTTTTCCCAACCGCGCTTCCAGCGACTGTACTTGCTAATCGTTTCAGCTGTGTCAGACCCTCGGGTCCAAGCTGGCTCAATATTCCCGGTAACATCTCGGTTATCTGTTTATTCTCTCCGTGACCAGTGATAGCAAATGTATTAGCGGACAGACTAGCCTGGGCTTTCGGATTATTAAAATGGATGACCGTGCCATCGTCTTTAATCATATTAACCTCCTCTATTCCAGGAATTGTATTTACAGAAAGTTTCTTTAAACAACTCTGTAACTTTTTGTCATCTGTGGCGGCAGTTGCATGTACAACCTGCGAAAGTAAAAAAACAAGGTAAACATAAAACCAACAACGTTTAATTCTACCTCAAGGCATAAATAGAAAGTTAAGTGTTCCGCTTAACATTGCCTCCGCAACTGTGTTACTTTCTCTCTCTCTCTTTTTTTTGTTGGTAATTTCGCTAATTTTTCGTGGACTATTATTCATTTGTTAATTATGAGTGCTTTAGAGAAGAAAAAAGCAGTTATCAGTAAATATGTATTTTACAAATCAGGTTAAAAGCCGACTACTGCGAAAAGACGATCAAAATAACTCCATTTATGACAAATCTGTGTGACATCCGCAGAGGAAATATGTTGCGAAACACGAAAGAAACTGACAGCTAATAATTTCGCATCCGTCGTCCCTGTAAGAGAAATCTTGCGATGTCACTATTCGCTCCGTTTTGAGAAACGAGACACGTATATTAATGACGACGACGGGCACGAATCACGTCGAAGGGCGATAAAGCAAGGTGGGGACGAGCTGGGGTATCTCGGCGACGTCGAAAAGGGAGAAACGGACAAGCGAAATGTATAAGAAACGCGCGACGCTTACCTTCTTCTTGCGTCGGGGTGTACCCTTGCCGCCGATTCGCACTTGGGCCTGGAGCTTCTTGAGCTTCTCGGGATTCATGCTTTTTAACCTCTGTTCGTGCGAGAGAGGGGGACGGGCGCGCGTAAGCGAGAGGGTGGCTGCGACTAGTGCTGTCTGCTCCACGTGAAATCCTTCCTCTTACGAGCGAGCGAGTCGACGAGTTGTGCGAGCGCGGGGACCGGCTACGCCGCGACACGTGCTCTCCGATCCGTCTGAGATGCTCGAGAAAATGGAAGCGCACGGTACGCTCGCTCGGCTCGCTCGCGATCCCTACGTCAGAGCTCATTTCCGGCGACGGCGGCGGCGGCGCACGGCGCGCTTCCGCTCCGCCGCGCGTGACCACCATACCGGTTCGAAACACGTTGCGGAAACACGCGACCTTCGCAACCGCGAAATACATATATGTTTCTCGTTCAATTTTCAACCGCTTCCGAGATATGTTATTAGAGACAGGGACAGTCCTTGTAGACACTCTGTATACAAGTAAATGCAAGGCTATAAGGAAAGCATGTATTACACATATCCTCCGATATGCATAATTCATGATGCGTTATGATGCATTAATAACCAATTCGTGTACAGAATTCACTGTTACACTTTAAGCTTTGTACCAAACCTATGCGCAAATTATGATGATTCGTACCTTTTAATCGTCGAGAAATTCATGAAAAAAAAATTGCTCTCTGGAGAGGATAAGGCGAAGGATAGAATTGCGATGAAATCACAGAGCAATACATCTAAAATGTTAAAATTTCATTTTGAATAAATAGAAAATATTGATTATTTTAATAATAAGGGATATCGCAAAGATTACGATAATTTGTATTTAACATTCATTTATTATATAATTTTAATATCATAAAATTATATATGTGTGTGTTTGTGTGTGTGTGTGTGCGCACGCTCGCGCAAAATTTATGTATTTATATAAATTAATCACTTTTACATATTATATTAATTAAACCGTCTTCAGTAAATTTAAACATAAATTTATACACGTAATTTATAAATAAATTTATTTTCAAGTTTAAATATTCACAAAACGTAGAACCAATATTAAATAATATAAATATATACATCTTTTTACATAACAGCATAAAATCTAAAATATATATTTACAATGTTTTTCAAACGCTATCATGCTATTACTAATAACACTAACACGTTTTATGATTATGTTTTATATCTCCCTCATTAAATTAAGTTACGAATACAAGATATAAATTAAAGGAAAAGAAATTGCACAGCAATAAATACAATACACAAAGAATACATTTATCACTTCTCATTAATTATAAAGCAAGATTGATGTTTTGTCAGATTAAGTTATACTACAATGGTTTGTGAAAATTACATCAATCTTTTTCGTGATATAAAACATATTAAAATTAAAATTTATGCGAGAAAGATACAATTATCTTAGACTCGATTATCTAATCGGTAGTATTATCATTTTTTAAAAATTTAATTCCGTTAAGAAAATTTAAATTATTTAAATGATATAATATTGCATTCATAACTCTTAATGAGATGATAATTCTTCAATTACATGCCTCATATTGTAATATTTGTCCCTTGTCTTGTAAATCCTCAAATATTTATGATAAAAAAGTAAAAACTTGATAATTTAAAAAGATCTTACAATTGATTTGATAATTCTAATCATTTTTAGAAAGAGCAATTTTCCTCCATTTATGACTCGTTTCGTTTTTTACATGCCCGAATTCAAACCTAATTCTAAGCTCGCCGATCTTCGAAATCGGTAAAATATCCGGTATCCACTCTATCAAGAATGGTGTAGGTTCGACTTGATTCGGAGAAGTATTTCCTAAAAGTAAGCGAAATAAAATATTAAATAAAAATATCTCACCTTTCGTTTATCAATGACAGATTCCTCAATAAAATAATTCAGACTCTCAAATCTATATATGCATCTTTTTAGCAAGAAATCAGAATCATTTTTTCAATATCAAACGCTCACTTACCCACTTTCAAATATGTTTTCAGCTCTAGCGGTTTAATCAACGCGTTATTATTCGTCTTTTTAAAACGATCTATTTCCGTTTCCTCCCGTTTGTATAATTCATACGTTCCATCTGCGTTCTGCACGAAACTTCTCGTGATCTCCAAAGGTATGTAGGGCGTCTCGAAAATACTCTTCACGTGCAAGATGTTCGTAATCTGCCATGTGTATTTGGTGAACGTTCCCAACGGCACTCCATCTTTCCTGACAAACGCCGTCGTTGAATTCGGCAAGCGTTTCTTCTTGCCGCCGCAAGATATTCGTTCGCGTAGACAGTCGAAGAATATCTGCGGCACATGAAACACCAGAGGATCGGGCTTGCCGTCGAACTGGAAATGCATCGTCTGATTTATTCGCTCGGTTATCGAGGCGAGCCACTTGATAAACGGCAGATTCGTACTGGCCTCGTCCAAGTCGTCGCAAGTGTTTTGATATTTCTTAACAATTTGCGACTTTGTCTTCGTCTTCCTCAGCTCGATCGAATTCAGATTCAAATTACTGTTGTTCATGTGCTTCTCGTCTCTTTTCCGTTTCGTCGAAATTGTCGTCTGCGTCGCGTTACCCTCGGTATTTGACACACTTTTGTTATTGTAATGTACCACTGCGTTTCTGTCAACTAGTTTAACACCACTGTTATTCAGGGCAACATTATTATCGACGAGCTTCGCATTGGTCATATCCAGGACCGTGGTACTGGCGTCAAGAACCTTCAACGTACTCGGATCCAATATCTTTATGTTATTATCGTTTAATATGTACTGACTGTTGTTGAGTACATTGTACTTTGTATCAACCGTCCCTTGATCGTCCAGTATTTTTATCGCATTTCCTCCTCCCAATTGAACACCATTTTGATCAATTACTTCTAAATTGTGAACCTGTATAATATATAAATAATTTGATAAGTTCAATAAGATGTATTTCCTTTCAACAACTTTGTGAAATAATTTTTAAATTCCTTACGAATGAAGAGATATTAATAATTTAACATAAATATATATTTTATGCATCTTACTTGTGATATTATATTGTTATCGTCTAGTAAACTGCGATCGCATTCCACCTCTATATTTTCAACAATACCGTGCGGTAAAATCGACGAATCTAAATTTATAGAATCTAAGTCTAATCTATTTCCGTCCAAACTTTGTACAGTTAAAGTATCATCACGAAAGATTAATAGATGCGTATCGGTTTCATCGGTGGTTAAACTATCGAGATCTGAAATTTTACATTATCATTGACGAAGGATATAAAATAAATTTCTACATGCATGATATACGCAAAAAAAATGCAATCTTTTACCAAGTCCAACAATTTTGTCATCATTTTGTGGTACAGATGATACTAGAGGTTTTTCTATACTAGATTGAGTTTGATCCAGATTTATATAATAACTAAACTCCTCGGATAGCTTTGGGTCGCTAGCAAATGCACAAATGCACGCGTAAAAATGCACACACCGCTTCGATTGTGATGACGAAGTGCCATCGACTTTATCTCCTATCTTTGTTGTACCCTATAAACAAATTATTATTCAGTAAAATATTTCCTAACTGGAGATGTTATTTGTATTAATTCAAATTGATTTAAAAATTCTAGTTTATTAAACAGTTTACAATCTTTTGTCAAATTGTTTGAGAAAAAATTTTTTATTATGCACATTTTACTTACCTTAAAATTAGTACAGCTACAAAAGTAACGATGTTCTATTCTATCCTTTAATTTACTAACGAAGAAAGAAAAGTGAAGATAGCCTAGGGGGTGTTTCGGAGAAGCTTTACACTTCACCGCCATTATATTCTTTGAGACTCTTTGTACTAGAGGACCAGAAGTTTCCGTCGCTAATAGCCATATCTCTTGTTTGGTTTCATTATTTACATTTAAGGACGATAAAATAGAATTTTTCAAAGTTAACGGCTGTGCTTCTGCATAACATTTCAATGCCGTTTGAATGTGTTGGCATGTGATCATAGTATCTGAATAGCCTTTCTCCTAAAAATAAAATTACAAATCTATGTAATATATGTCAAAATATAATACAAATACAATTACTAAAGTGTTAACTGATATGCAAATCTTATAAAATATTTACATGACATTTCAGGACACTGGTATGAAAACTTCTCTCACAGCTGTCAACAAAACACAATGCAGTGGTCTGTGAAATAAGAGCTGTAATATCATTCGAAATGGTGGCATTTATCAACGGCAACTGCACAAAGCCACGATAATCAGGTCCCTTGTCCTTGACTCGTACAGAGAACACTTGCACCGTTGAGCCTGTGATTAGCTTGCATGCTTCTGTAGACAATTTCCGCTTCTCGCCAGGTTCCTTGAACACTGCGTCGCAATATTTGTTCTTACAGCAGAGACCACGCGACCCATTGTAAGTTCCACATTTTGGACATTTTCGAACTCCACGCAGTGTAGCCTTTCCCAGGTCTGACAGAAGTTTCTTCAAGCGTTCCTCATTGGACATAGCTGCTGTATATTACAATAATATATATTAGATTAGCAAGCTCTGATAGTTTTCGAATCTAACTTCTTACTGCGTTTATAAGTTCTTTTTTCTATCGAAATTATGAATTGTTTTATTGTATAATTGCATATATTGTATTTAATTGATAAAATTATTAAGTTGGTAAGAAGCTTTATTAAATTATCTATTAAATATTTAAACTCTAGTAAATCTGAAAGTGTTTTTAAAATATTTAATGATCACTTATTGCGTTATTTTAAAAATCACATTCTTCTCTTTCTTATCCAAATAAGCTATAGTAAGTCTGTCCAAGTTTATACTCACAAGTATGTTTTTCTCTTCTACATTGTCTCGTTGAGCAAGATAATAAGAAAATAATAGACAAATAAACAATAGACACTGAAACTCCACCAAATCAATTGTTATGCGTAAATTATCATACAAAATATATCAATATACTAAATATGACCATGAACTATCAGCATTGCCTCGGCAGTTGCTACGAGTAAGACTCTTGCGCTTAATAAATTTGGACCGACTTACAGCTATAAAATTTCATAGAAAGACTACCTGAACAATTGGTATCTTAACCGTTTATATTTAACAGAAAATTAGTCGAGTTTTTTCAAGGTCAACTGATTGTTAAGAAATTATATATAACCAAATCTGGATAAATAAGGAAAATATAAGAGGAAGGAAAATATTGATAACACGATATATATATGAGATGAAAGAATAATAAATCCCCAAAAAATTCGGAGTCTAGAAGACGCTGAAACGTTACATTTCTTGATATATAAATAAAAAAATTACATATTATCCCAATAAGAAAAATATGTTTCTAGCTTTGAAGAAATTATGCGAGTACATTAAAGGACAGTATATCACGCCGCAATGGAAACAGACATAAAAAAAAGCAGAAAAGCTGCAAAGGTATGTCAAAAAGAGCTGTGTTCTCTTCATTCAATGGGTTAAGCGTGCTGTAAGAGTAACGTAGAGTAACTGGACGAAAAGTTTCCTTCAAGTTGCATCGAGTTGCATAATAAAAGGCGATAAAATGATTGCTCGTGTTTTCTGTTGGCGGGAGGAAAGGGGGGCAGGGCGAGGAAAACGCACTCCGCGTTTATTCGATTCCCATCGTCAATGCGAGCGCATTTACACGGAATTACATCTCGCCGCGAGAAACAGCGATTATCTAACGACGTTACCTTCCGATATCGCAGAAGTGACGCAAGGATCGCACAGCTGTGAGAGGGAAGAAAAAAAACCGCCTCTTTCACGGGCCGGATTATATTATCGAGTCGCTAATCCGCTTCAGATAGTAAATAAATAAAGCCCATCACGGGAGAGTATTTTGAGAGGGTAGAGGGCGTGAAATTCTCGACCACGGTTCCATCGAGAGGATAGAGGGTTGATCGCGGGTCGGGCTGGGTCGGGCTCTCTGTTGTCCATTTTACGAGAATGTAGATAATTTCAATCCCGATTTAATTTTCTTTCAATCTTTCTCTAACTCTTGGGACTAGAAAAAGAAGAAGGTAATTTGGATCAAGATTAAAGAGTTAATTTTATATTAAACATAGAAATGAGCATCGCCAATATCGGTTGAAGATATCTGTGGACCAATAGGAGCTCTCCGGTCTCGCGGCCAATCGCGATCGTCGGACGCTGCCTGGCTTGCGTCGTGCAATATCGGCCTTGCGTTTTCCTTTAGAAAGGAAGTGTAACGTCAGCCATCTTGACTCTCTTTCACAGAGGACAGCTTGCTGCGTGCAAGATGAGGTTTGTTCACCGCGATAAACTTAATTCGCTATTTCGACGAGTATCCCGGCGAGACGCATTTAGAGTCGTCGTGCGAAATCGCCGCGAATTCCGGCCGCAGAATTCGACCGTACCAGCACGATTTCGCGATGGGGGAGAAAAATATTCCCGTCGCATGTCACCCGAGCCGTGCGCGATCCGCGGAGCACATGGCATTCCCGACGTTTACGAAATACCTTTTGCAAACGCCAGATCGGGACCGTTGCGTCGACGATGCACACGTTGACATCTGGATCGAATTCTGCGAGAATACGCGACGTTCTCTCGTTTGACGTTTCACGTACAAATTCGAGACGTTGAATTCCCTAACCTCACTCTTACCGTTGCAGTTCCTTGAAGCTGCAGAAGAGGCTAGCAGCCTCTGTTATGCGATGCGGGAAAAAGAAGGTCTGGTTGGATCCGAACGAAATTAATGAAATCGCAAACACGAATTCGAGTAAGTTTTCTTTTACTTCGTAATCTATACGTTTTTTTTTTTAATCACAAAAGTCAAAAATTTATAAATATCGGCAAGAGAATTGCTCGTTGTTGCATTATATATTACTTTTTTAATTTATACGGAGATTTTTTATCTGTTACGTCTTTTTTTTCTTCAGGACAAAATATCAGAAAACTGATCAAGGATGGTCTCATCATCAAGAAACCCGTCGCTGTACACTCGAGAGCTCGCGTTCGCAAGAACACCGAAGCTAGACGCAAGGGTCGTCATTGCGGCTTCGGTAAGAGGAAGGGTACTGCAAACGCCCGTACGCCCCAAAAGGTATGTGTATTCCAACAGTGACGTTTTGCCATGTTGCTTTCTGTGTTGTTTATATTCCTTTTTTTTTATTAGAAAGTATAATAAAATTATATAAAAGCATTTATATGTGATTAGCAAAGTCTTAACCATTTATATGCATCACGCAGGATCTTTGGATTCAACGGATGCGAGTCCTTCGTCGCCTCTTGAAGAAGTACCGCGAAACGAAGAAGATCGACAGACATCTGTATCACTCGTTATACATGAAAGCTAAAGGTAACGTTTTCAAGAACAAGCGAGTACTGATGGAGTTTATTCATAAGAAGAAGGCGGAGAAGGCCCGTGCCGAGATGCTGTCCGATCAGGCCGAAGCTCGGCGCACGAAGGTCAGGGAGGCCCGTAAACGCCGTGCGGAACGCATCGCGTCGAAGAAGCAAGAGCTGCTGCAGTCGTATCAACGCGAGGACGATGCCGCAAAGAAATAAACTGCGCGATTATATCTTAAGTAAAAATTATAAATAAAATGAAAAAAAAGGGAGAATAATCTTAAAAAAAATTCTTTTTCCCTAACACTTTAGGCTTCAATAAAAAAAATTAACCCAAACACGAGAATAATTAAACAAAGAATAAGATAATTCAGAGCTTTTAAAAATTACATTTAAAACATATGTGTTGAAGAAAGAGGAAATCTGCAATTAGTAAGAATGTACGAGAAGGGAGCAAGCTAACAATCCCAAAAATATAATTTTTTTAACTATAAAAATATTGATATAATTAAAAATGTAAATAATATATAAAAAGAAAATTATAAGAAATAAAATTTTTATTTGTCAATTATTAATTAAAGAATTTACAATTGAGGCTTTGTTAATAATTAATATAGTTAAATATTTTATTTGTCAATTATTTAAGAATTTATAATCGAGACTTTGGTAATATAATTATTAAATTGAGATTCTGCAGTGCAGATAATTAAATTCTAGCATATCTTGTAATAAACTGCTACTTTTGCAACCGATAAATTTCGTTAATAATTTCAATTCTATCTGCTAGATGGCACAATATTCCCATCATGGCGGCAGATGAACATGTGCAAAAATATGCAGTCTGATTCGTGAATACCATTGATATCTATCATTCAGAGAGAGAGAGAGAGTTCAACGTTCAACAAAACGTGGCCAAATCTGGCTTAGTAAGAGGAGATTAAGGGAAGCTTTCTCTTGCGCATTAATTTGTCAAATTGTGCGGTAAAACATAATTTCGCTGCTTATACTCCCTAAGAGAGCTGACCAAACAGAGGACTTCACGTTGTCAAAATTAATCGCTGTCTGATGCAACAGCACGTTGCACAACTAAAGTCGAGATTTACATGCGGAGATTTTCAACACCGTGTTTGTTTACGCTCGTCGAAGTCATGGTCGACGGATAGTCGCCTCGGCTCTCTCTGACAGATGCCGATGAATATCTGACAGCGGAGAGAACACTGTCACGGAAAAGGGAGGAAGTTAAAGCTATTCGATCGTTGATTCTGAGCACGCGGACGGACGAGAACATGAATCCGTCGAAATCGGAAGGGAAATCGAATCTCCCGCAGAAGACGAGGGAGGAGATCAAGGCGGAACGCGAAGCGAAGAAGGCTGCTAAGGCTGCTGCTAAAGTGGCGAAAGCTAACGTCAATAAGGCGGATAACGTCAGGAATGCGGCTGCAGTAGCCAATTGTAAGATCCCGGTGAGAGATGCCAAAGCAGATGTCGCGACGGCGAAGGGTGACAAGGTAGTAAAAACAGACAATATTAAAAGTAAATCTGCGACGGCTAATTGTGGGGTCCTAGAGAGAGGTGCAAAAGCAGCTGTAGCGACAGACGCGGCAGGCTCGCAACCTGCTGATACAGGGGCCTTGAAGGAAAATGAAATTCAATCTTCGAATGTCGTCCAAAACGGCGCGTCCGAGGGGAGGAGTGAAGGCAAGAGCAAGACCGAGCTGCGCGCGGAACGAAGAGCTAAGCAGGAAGCTCAGAGAGCTGCCAAGCAGCAACAGTCGGCAAAGGACAACGTGAAGACTGTGGAGTCTGCGAAGCCGCGTGTAGAGACAGTAGCCGAATGCCCGGCGAGGAGGAGTGTTGCGAAAAGCGCGATCAGGGAGGACGCGCACACCGTTGATTTGTTCAAACACCTGTATCAGGAGAGAGAGCGTTCGCTGTTCAATATCGCCACGGTGAACTCGAGCATACACCCGGCGATAGTCAGACTGGGCGTTCAGTACGCGAACAAGATCATCGTCGGCAGTAACGCGAGGTGCGTTGCGCTCTTGGCCGCCGTCAAACAGGTGGTCCGGGACTTCGAGAAGCCGACGCAGGAGGACTTCGTCCGTAGTCTCGAGGCGCACCTGAAGGAATCGCTGCGTTATCTGCGCCACTGCAGACCGCTGGGCGTCTCGATGCAGAATGCCATGCGTCATCTCACGTGGCAAATGACGCAATTTTCGTCTACGTTGTCGGACGAAAAAGCAAGTGATTTTGTAGCATTTTGTTCTTGTATAATGATATCTTTGATAGTCGTAATTGTTCTTTCGCCTGGTACAAATTTGTCTAACCTCTATGAATCGGGGGCATTCAAATATACGATAAAAGAAGAGATATAGAATACAAAGGAAAATTAAGAAAATTTGTGAATTGCATGTTTTTTTTTATTTAAATCTCTTATAGTCATCTGATCTAATATCTGATCTATTACAGGCGAAAAATAAGCTGCAAGGAGTAATAGATACTTACATCTCGGATCAAATTAACAAGGCTGACGAAGCGATATCAATAACGATGCGGAGTAAAATATTGGACGGGGATGTTATTTTAACATATGGCTAGTGAGTATATTTTATAATCTCTTTATATAATTTAATCAAAAAGTATTAAACGCACAAGATATCAATGTCTTGATTCTCATATCTTATTTTCTTAAGATGTATAATATATTTATTTCTATAAATGATTTTTATAGGAAAGAACGAAGAAACGTGGAATATTATTTTTGAAAATATACAATTTTTTTTCAGTTCATCTTTAATTCACCAGATATTAGTGGAGGCGCATACTGCAAAAAAGCAATTTCGCGTGATTGTGGTCGATGGTAGGCCGTGGCTAGAAGGAAAGGAACAGTTGAGGCGTTTGGCGAAACATGGAATTGAGTGCTCATATATATTAATCAATGCCCTCAGCTTTATTATGCCAGAAGTAAGTAGCTATGCTCCTAATGAACTGAAGAGATACTTTCCAAATTTTTATAATCTATGAATTTCTCGAAAATAATTTCACACATATAAACATATATTTTTTATTTATTTTAAATACCAATTTTGGAATAAATGTAAAAAAAATATTTTCTTACTTCCATTTGTTCTGTTAAGCTAATTCATTATTTCATTTGTCTAGGTCAGTAAAGTCTTTCTGGGTGCCCATGCGATATTAGCTAACGGAGCAGTAATGTCAAGAGTTGGAACCGCGCAGGTTGCCCTAATGGCGAAAACCTATAACGTTCCCGTTTTAGTAGCATGCGAAACGCATAAGTCGTCTGAACAAGTGCAGACCGACTCCATCGTTCATAATGAATTAGGTAAGCAAGAAAGCAAATTTGATCGCTATGTGTAAAATTAATTTTATAAAATTAAATTTATAATTTTATATAAATGTTATATAATAATTACATCTTACACTTAAATTTGCATATTACATATATTTTTTCTCAAAAGTGATGATTATAATTTTCATTCAATGTTGCAACTTTCTCAGCCTATGTTGCGACATCGCTTACTCATTTTATTCGTTGCTTCAGGTAATGCAGACGATCTGGTGAATCATCAGCCGAACGGTAGTTCAAAAAGGTCTTTACTCTCGAATTGGCGAACGAGAAAGTCGTTAAATCTTTTGAACATCACTTACGACGTGACGCCAGCTGATCTTGTGACGGCCGTCGTCACGGAATTGGCGATTCTACCATGCACCAGTGTTCCTGTGATTTTACGGTTTAAACCTTCCGAGGTTTAAATACGTACAATACAACGTACATACAACAGTTATTACGCTTCTTCAAGGAAAAATACACAAGCGCACGACGCCTGGAAAGGAAAACTAGTTACAAACACAGAAATTACCGGGTACAATATTTCGATGTAAATATACGGATTAGACTATTTGACTATTTCACGCAAAACAATTATATTAATCAAATATAACGCGAGATAATATTGATTAATATATTGCGTTTATATATATATATACATATATGATTGTTGAAACTTTTTAAAACTACGGTGCAGAGAGATATAGTAACAAAATTTCGCTTAAAGACTTGCCGATACTTACCAAGTTTTCTAATGACAATTGATATCAATTAGTGTTTTATATATCTAACATGTATTATAGTTTTCTTTTTAATACAAAGCAGATGCAATGCTGTTGATATGAATTGTAAAAAATAAAACATGTTTCTGATAAGGTTTTTCGATCTTCAAAATTGTACACATATATTATTTTGTATATTTTATGAATATGCAAATTTCATTATTTTATGCTAATGATACGTCTTGAAAATAATTAAGCACTGCAATATTGATGAAACCTACATGCTGGTTCGAATCTCCCTTCAACTAGTATACGCATTTTTTGTATTCTGGTGAACCATAAGTATATTTCAAATGCAATTACATTACGATATACACAAATTAATTTGACAGTAATATTTATGAAAAAATATATTGCTAATTTGCACGTGAGTGTGTGCTGCGTATTTTTTTTGTCTGCTTGCCATCAAATAATTTACTGACTTTATTACAAAAAGACAATTGTTCATGCACTTTCTATTTCATCATCATTCCAATTCAATGTCCTATCAATTCCACCACTCGTTGGCGTAATGTTTTTTATAGGGAGGATTTTAAGCAACATTAATGCTCTCGTCTATTCATACTACCAAAGAGAAATCTGAGAGAGGACATAACGATCTTTTGCCTGTTATCTTAAAATGCCCTCGTGCACTGACGGCTAACGTCAAAAATAAAATAAATTAAAAAAAAAAAAATTTTAAAAATAATAATTAAAAATAATAAAAAAATAAAAATAAATAAAATAATAAAATAATAAAATAATTATTAATAATAATTTAAAATAAATTTAATAAATTTTAGAAAAAAAAATTTTAGAAATAGAAAGAAAAAGAAAGACAAAAAAGAAAGAAGAATGTAGTATATACATATGTATAATACACGATTAGCACGGATACGAACCACGTTCTAATGCTATGATTTGATCGACTATGTTATTAGATGGGATAGACGTGGTACGTAGTTCCTTTTTTGAAAACGTGGACGTGCAGGGGCGTTAGTGGGCCTGTCTCACGCTTCTGTCTGAGGCAGTCTACACGCCAAGTTAGGTTAGGTTTGATCAGAGTCTGGAATCTTAACCCAACAAATATTTTATAATCATTTATTTGAGCGCAGGCGAATATTGAAAGTATGTTAAAGTAAAGATCGAGAACAAGGATTTATGCATTGTTTAACTCCAAGGACGGATTGAAGAAATCTGTATATCGAGCAATCGCGGTGGAGTGTCCAAAAAAAGATCTACCATAATCAACGTCGTGTTTACGGCACCGTTGAATACAATAACATACCTGATTCTAATACACGTATTACCGTAAATTAAAAAGAATTCATTGAAACAAATTTGAGAAAATATATTATATAAATATATACGATACTTTTTTTAATAATGAGATTCAGTAATAAAAATTTATTTAAACCACCGTACATTTTAGAAAAGTGTGAGTTTCGCAAGATCCTCATGACAAATTTAGGTTTAACTTCTTTCACGTCCTCCGACGTGGATAATTATTTCAATACGAAGAGAAATAACCTTGTTCGTCATCGAGTCATAAAAAATTGTTCTATGTGCAAGGTAGGTTTACGAATACAACTTAATTCTGATGCAATTCAATTAAAAACAATTTTTCTTAAGGAGCAATTAGCATGTGGATTCGATTTGATATGTTTTCTACTTTATTTATAATATAATTAACAGAGTTGAGATCGACAAGAATTGCAAAATAAAATTACTTAATTGGAGCAATTTTCTGGATTCAGAATTTTTTTTAATTTCATTTTTATTTACTTTTGCACACAGTCTTTGAAATACTATCTTTTCTAAAATGAATAAGATTTCTCTTTTTTTAAACAGGATATAATGTGATATTTATTTATTTCAGAAATATAACGTTAAGGTGGATTCTCTGGATAGCCTCTTCCGTTGCCTGAGATCGGTTAGCTATACATTAGAGCACAGAATTAATGTACTTAAGGATATAGGAGTACCAGTTATAAATACATCTCAATTGAACAAGTACGTTGTGTACATGTATATTGAAATTATGTGTGTACTGTGAAATGAATATTTTGTTCAATAGTATTTTTAAATTCCAGGATATTCTTTTATATTCACAAAAAAGTATCAAATTTTAAAGTGAAAACTAATATTCCAGCCGAGCAAAACATTGCCATGAATATATTTGGTGGTGAATTTTCTGACGACATTTCAAAGCTGGGATTGAATGATAACTTGACAGTCGAGGAATATTATCAGAAGTGTCTTTTGTATTGCAAAAGTCGGATATTCAATCTACCATATTTAGACGATAAAATATTTTTGGACAATAAGAATTTAAAAAAAGTAAAGAGTATAAGCATGATTGCAGAGACACTGAAAGTACTCAGACTTGATCTTGGTTATGATGAGAAGATGGTAAATATAATTTTATATTAAAAATTCAAATATTTTGTGTGAATTTTTTATGATTAAATTTTCCTGATTAATTTAAAGGAATGAAAACAAATTCTGTTCAATTTCTTAAATCTTTTCTTTGAATTTTATTTTTAATTTTTTTAAATCTCAGTCAAATCTTAAATATTCTTAAGATTTTACTATTTCTGTAAAAAATATATTTATCTAATTTTATTATTTGAATAGATAAAAAGGCAACCTAAAGTCATCATTGCTTCTGCCGATAACATCAGGTTGCTGTTAAATAGTTTTACAGACATCGTAGGGATACCGATTGTGGATGCTTTGAGAGAATATCCCTTTATACTTCTCCAAGATGTGGATAATGTTAAACAATTAGTGAAGCTGTTCAAACTGTATGAAATACCGAATGAATATGTCAAGTCATATATGAAAGTTTTCACGATAAGAAACGAAGTTTTCCAAGAGCGAATAGAGATGATAAAACGTCATCCAAATTTGAATGTGTGGTATAAGCATTCGCGAATTGTGCAAATTGCATCCCAGATACATATGACAAAGAATCGCTTGCAGTATGTTAGCATCATGGATTCTTCGAAATGGGTCCATCCAAACGCGCTCCTATCTCAAAAGCATTCATTGGACAAGTAAGAGTTTGTAAGATATTTTGCGAATGTCGTTAGAGTATATTCAAGAACTCTGTGATTATTTGATATATTTGATGAATACGTAGATATATAGACACACACAAACACACATTATGTGCATATTGTTATTTTATTTATTCTAGAGCTGTGCAAATCGGCTTATGTTCACACAAACGGTATGTACAGCATGTATTGAAGCAGGAGTTGGAAGTAGACATGAGCGATTTGCTAACGAGACATCCGCATTGGAAAACGGCTGCGTTTGCTGATATAGTGCAGATGATCAAATACTTAAGGAAACATTTTACAATAGACGAGATATGCCCCAATATACACATCGTGCTTTACAAACGGTAATGATCTGCTTAATAAAATTACACTATTTAAATTAGACACAATTTAGAATGTTTAACAACAAGTAATAGAAGTTTAAATTATAAATTCTCAATTTTTTTTCCTATTTTTAGGTTTTTTTCGAGCTTTTTTTAAATTTTCTGTTATATTGCATAACATTAGATAACCAATCAAATCTCCTTTTTTTTTTTCAGATCCAGAGTGCAAAAGGTACTGGCTGATTTGAAACAACAATACTCTCAGAGTACAGAGTACTCATTTACTGACAGCCAGTATCTCGCATTGTGCCTATACATGCTGGAGAAAGATAATCATTTCACAGGCGATGGTATTTGGAGCAACGAACGGGACACGAAGCAACAATCTTTGAAGAAACGAAATATCGTGGAAATATCTGACAATAGTACAAGTACGGTAGAAAATATCAATGATAATTTCAGTATGGAAGACGACGACGGTACTGATCATAATGATATAGACGCTAAGGGCGTTGCGCTCAGTAACAATACATAAATATAAAGTATTGAAACAACGGTATACATAATGTACATAACTTTTACTTGTACAGAATATCTTGCAGCAATTCATGTTACAGAGAAAGATTGTATCTTTATAATGTATGCAACACATGTAAAAATGGCGTGAAAAAAAATACAGTAATATGTTCTAAACGAGGCTATGAAGTGAAAATTCAATGCGAAGAATACTTATACATACGTTAAATCGATTAAATTCATTGAGTAAATTCATATATTACAGGTTATCTTTGCATGCTATGCGCATAAAAGTTGAATACTGCGATACTAGAATGGGATTAGATCAATTTTCGTTCTTCATTTATTACAAATTATTTTTACATAGAAATTGAATATTTGCAACATACACAAAGCGAGATTATTTCGATTAAGATTTACTTTTTCTAACGCAAAGGCACTGCGCGTAAGGCATTAATTATTCAAGGCACGGAAAGTTGTCTCGAATTATATTACAAATCTAGTAATTATACATTTGGTTTAGGTTCTTCCCTCCTTTCCTCTCCTCTCTCTCTTTCTCTCTCTCTCTCTCTCTCTCTCTCCCTCCCTCCCTCTCTCCCTCCCTCCCTCCCCCCTTCCTCTCTCATTAGCCGAATTAGATTCAGAAAAGATTTTTCTGAAACAGGATAATTATTAATAGTATAACGTTGTAAGAATTATTTTTATTATAAGAATATCTTAATCTTTATCAGCTGAGAGGAAGCATTTTCAAACGCAAACGAAGTATCGATATCATCATCGTGAGATATCGCTTAAAGCGATTTTTTATTTTAATTCTGTTATAAATCTCATGTACCTAAATGTAATCCATTTTTGGTCACAAGTTAATCGTGCGGATCGAGACGCGAAGTTATCAAACAGCAGCGAAAATAGAATTATTCTTATATATATATATTCTTCTCTCCTTCCGTTAAATAAAATATTTTATATCCTTTTTATCTTCGGTATTCTCTCTCGCGCATAGATCGACTCAATCGTTTATTTCTATTAATATAGATTAATTTAATCTCGATTTAATTTACTTTTATATTTTTCTAATAATTGAAAAAAAAATTTCTACGAATGAAAAAAAGGTCAAGTTTTTAGAAAAACTTGATTCTTTAATTCTGTAGTTCTAATTCTTAGAAGAGGTAAAAAAGGCAAGTTTAACTGAAATTAAAGTTAATTTATATTCATAGAAATAGATTAAGGCGATTTTGACTGAAACTTCGATTAATGTAATTGACAATTAATCTGATCTGATAAAATTTTTAACTATATATATATATGTATAGATACAACTGCTATGTAACATATACGTAAATATATATATATATATATATATGTTTTACATTTGTTATATAGCAGTTGTATTCGGTATTTGCTGGTTATTTATCGTTTCTAATCTTCTGATTTTTTTTCTGTATGTCAAACAATGAAGAATAGATCATTTCTGTTTATATTAATAAAATAGTAGTACATGCAGGTATTACTTGTTCAATCGTCTTAATTATCGATTAAATTAATAGAAAGTTGGTCCAAGTCACCCCTGCGCGCGTAAAGCATTCGCGATCACCCAAGCAACAAGTACAGAAACACCGCGGCTGTCGCAACGCGAATATTCGAGCTCGAGATCCTAGGACTTATATATTATTATCCGTATCCTTTCGTAAAATCAAAATGCTGCACCGAACGGGCATCTCGTCGATGCCCACTACTTAAATATAAGCATTTTATCAGTAAAATTTATTCCAATCTCTCTCTGGATCTTGTACTTATTAATAGTCGAATCTTGCTCGTTATACGATCGTTACATCGAGAGTAAGCTACGATGTAAGTAGCGCCGGTGCGAGCCCGGTCGAAGTTGCGCGACCCAAAGTCCTAATACTCCTCGCGCTCGTCACGAAACATCATCGGACAGATCGCAAAGGTCGCCTAGAAGAGATCTAGAGCGGAGGAGGCCGCGAGTCAGTTCAGAAAAGGAGGCAGCTGCACGTAGCTCGGCTGGCTGCCGGGCTCGCTCTTGACCATGACCTGATCCTTCATGGCCTGGCGCGCCTGCGGCGAGTGCATGCCGTAGTCCTGCTTCTGATCGTTCGGCTGCGGCGGCGGCGGTTGCTGCTGCTGCTGCTGCTGGCCGAAATCGGCCGCGGCCTGGTCGTGCGCGTACTTGTCCGCGAGGCAGCCACCGTGCTCGTCCTCGGACATGGAGTTGCCGAGGTGGGTGGACGGCGAGTGCGTCGTCACTATGGTTTGGTAGTCGGCGCGGGTGAGGGGCTCACCGGGCGGCGGCGGGTTGCTGCCGCCACCGGGGTTCATGTAGTCCTGGTGGACGCGCATGGTGTTGCCGGCGCCGCCCGGCGTGGTGAACAGCGCGGCGTCGTGCTGCGACGGCAGCATGCTCGCGTACGACGAGTACGAGACGCTGCCGTTGTTGCCGAAGCTCGCGGCCGCCGCCGCCGCGGTAGAGTACGCCGAATTCGACGGGCTCAGTAGATTCAGATGCGGTCCCAGATCGAACGCCGCCGGCGAGTACGCCCAGGCGTCCGGCGGCGCCGTCGCCGTCGTCGGCGACGCGAACGGGTTCAGGGTGTTGTTGAGCGACGTGAAGGAGCCTAAAAACGTGGGAAACATGGTACCGTTAAGCGAAAAGAGCTTGGAATTTATAAGCTATAAAGAATTTAATGGACATGATGTACAATATAATTTTGCGTTAATTTATACATTATACTGTGCGAGTGTTGAATTAAACAGAATATAAAATATATAGTTTCGTACGTATAAAATATAATTTTTATATGCAAATTTTTATGTGCAAATACAAAAAGTAACGTAAAAGATTTTAAATTAAAAATTTTCTCTTTTTCTATTATTTCATGGCTATTTCTCTACTAACTCTCTCTTTCTCTCTCGCTCTGTCTTTAAAAAGATTGTGATACTTTTTACATAAATTTTTACGATAATACATTTTTTTACCTGACAGACCGGGATTGGCAGAACCAGCGGCCACGTAACCGGCGGTCTTGCGCGGTGGTTCCTTCTTCCTCCATTTCGCACGACGATTTTGAAACCAGACTTGTACACGAGTCTCTGACAGGGCTAGCTTGAGTGCCAATTCATCCCTCGCAAAGACGTCCGGATACGGTGCACGTTCGAAGGCTCTTTCCAATTCCTCCAGCTGATAAGCCGTGAAAGTTGTTCTAAAGCAGAGATCGAATATAAAAATTGAAATTTCTGTATTTATTATTTTTTCATACATAATTTATTTGTATCTATAATTTAAATGTAAAAAAGATATATTGATATTTTAACAAATTTAAGAAATTTTAATGATAAATTTATGAAGTATTTAAAAAGTTACATTTAAATATAAAATTGATCGCGCAATTCTATCGAGTGCACATACCTCGTCTTTTTCTTCTTGATGTTATTGTTGTCAGTCTTCTTCTTCGAGTCCTTCTTAGCTGGCTGTGCTTCGCTGCTGACTGCAAAGTTAATATTTATTCGTCAATCGTAAAGTATGAAAAATTTTAGTATGAGATCAGAGAACTACAATACAGAGAGCTACGAGAGATAGTTTCTCGAAAAACGGATGTGTCGAAGTACCATTTCATGAAAAGCAACGTTAGTGTGGTCGCGTGGTCTCAAATTTGACATTTAGTGTCTGACATTGGATTTATCTAATTTTCAGCGTCAGATAAAAAAATCGCTCAGTTAAAAAAGTAAACGTTACATTTTCTTCATATATTATAAATATCACTATCTAGCGTCACAAAGGGAACACGCTTTTATAATTGACGAGAAGGAAACGGAAAAAATAATCGAAGCATCGGTTACCTGGCGCGAGCGCGTTGATCGGGTCGTCCGGCTTCCTCTTGAGCGCGTTGCCGAGTTGCAGACTCTGCTGGAGACTCGTCGAGGTCGGCGTGACGCTGGTAGATGTCGAGGTGGTGACGTCCTGGGTCTGCGGCGGCAATGGCGCGTACATGCCGGATAGCTCGAGCTCCTTCAACTCTTTCTGCTGCTGCTGTTGCAGGTGATGCTGATGATGCGGCGACGGGCTATTAGAGGAGTCCAGCTTGTGAAGCTGACCGCCGCCGGTTGGCATCAGGTCGCCGCTTCCATGATGACCGCCGCCCGCCTGCAGGCTCAGCATCACCTGGATACTGTGGGCCCCGGTGGTCCCGCCGCGCGTCCCAAAGTCCGAGAAAATCGGATCGTCCCATGAAGGTGCGCCGTCCATTTTCGATAATTTCTTTCGTGATCCTTTAAGTGGGAATTTTTTTTTCAAACGATCAGATGTGCGTTTCGTGAAATTTCGATGTTTTCTCTATCAAAAATATTTTTCTCGGTTTCAGAAAGATATTTCACTGTCGATTCAAAGACAAGAAACCGGGAAAGTTTTTGAAATATTTTGGATTCGATCATCAATTATTTGCTAGTTTCTCTCTTTTCCCGCATTAAAGTCTTTATTTTCCGCGTTTCCATTCCGCGTTCAGCTTGCGCTGATGTTTGATTTATTAAAAAGTTGGAGTTTGTGTGTAATCACCAAGCACGCAAAATCTCGTCTTTCAATTTGCAAATTTAATATTGATTTAGTCCAATGCAATATAGCAGGATGTCAATCACAAATCACTTCTGTTATCTTCCGTGAAGCCTTCCTCTTCGAATCTCCTCTATCATTTTCACATCTTCGAAAGTGTCGAGCGACCGACACGATTTGTAAGTTGAAATCCGAGAGCCGGCGAGATCACCGTCTCACACCTCAGCATCGATCACGCCCGTCCATCGAGGCTCTTCCGAGATTCTTTCCGCTTCCCGCCGGTAGAAAAAAAAAAGGGAAGAGGATCGGCGTCGCCCGATTGCCCGATTGCTCGTAATGGAGCGCGCGCGGCAATTGCGATCAATTGTTGCCCGGGTTATGATTAATTTTGATTAGTTTTAAGCGGCGTTAACTCGCGCGATGCGCCGGCCGATTATTCGCGGTGGACCTTGGAAGAACTGGACCGAACCGACGCGACGACCGACGTCTCCCTCGAAACGAGAGAACGTCCGTCCTCTCTTCTCTCTATCGGGACACTCTCGCCACTACTCTACGTCCCGAGCCTCTGGCTAATCAGCCGCCACACACACAGGCTTATATTTTCTACGTCACGCCGGCCCAGACCGCCCCCATACCCGGGGCCCCGGCCAATCCTGGCTTCATGCGGGCACGGTGATGCTGCCCCTCATGGTCCAGCGCCATCGTTCTCCTCGCTCCACTCCGTCACCGCGGATCCTCGTGGTCAGTGGGCGACTTGCCCCTCTTCTTCATCATTTCATCCCCTCTCCCTTCCGACCTGCGTGCAAAAAAAAACGTCTCTCGATCTGCTGGTGCGCTGTACGGGGGTGGAGATGACACCCGGGGTACAAACGTATTTCGTGCGAGGGTTACACGCTAGGCGTTCGTGGGAATAGAAATAAGAGAATCGCTCTTGCGCTTCGCGTGGGAAGTGGACGCGTTCGTTTTTCCACTTTGCCAGTCTTCGCGATTGCGTTTAGAAATATAATACATAATGTGAGATATAAACTCGGAAATTTAGAAATATTGAAAAGAAATGTTTGTTAGAGAATCTTTAAAAAATCTGAACACACTTTGTAACTGGAAGGAATTTGCGCTAACAGCAATTAATCTCTTTACTCTTTCATTTGTGGTACACGATAAATCAAACTATACGACGTTTAGAGCAGCGTAAATGATTCACGTGCAGCGTAATACTTACCTCGATTTCATCGTGAATTCTTCGCGATGTGTATTTACACTCCTCTTTTTTTTTGTTCGTATCATCTTTTTAATCGTTCGAACTTTTCAGATGCAGCACAACGACGGGAATTATGTATATAATCTCTTGCTGATTAGCATTTCGTTATCAAAATCTTTGTAAAACAAGCTCCTTACGTATAAATATGAGTTACCATTATCATCGAGATAACAAACACGTGTAACATTACAATGTCAGTTAATAACAACCCTTTCGTCCTATTCTTCTTCATCTCTGCCTTCTTCACCTTTTTTTTCTTTTGTTTTCAGCAAAATGCAGATCGAAAGCCGCGCGATATTTCCACACGAACTCTTCGTGATGATCCAGCGAAGTGAAAAAAATCAGTACCGCGGGAAACCGCGAACAGGAGATTCGCGCGTTGACCGATCGATCGGGATCGCGAGATGCGTGCGGTACCTTCGCTGCCCCGAGGAAGAGATCCATGTCTCTGTTGGTCGACAGTTGGCGTAGCACTGAGCCAAGCACTCTTAAGCGCAAGCTCAATGAAATCAGCAATCGCCAGGAATTGCCTCGAATTGGCCCAATCAAACCACCCCCCGTTCCCCGTATACGCGTGTATATTAACCGCTAATTTTCGTTGTTGGTAATTAGCGCGCGCTTGTATACGCGCCGATTTCATCGCGCTCTCCGCTCTGATCGCCCATCGCTCTCCACCGATCGACCCCAATCATCTCTTCGGCATTACCTTGTCCTTGCTCGATTCTATTTACTTCCGTGCGCATTATTAGTCTCACAATAGATTTATTTTATCCGTATCTTACCTTCTATTTCATTCTATTGAGTTAAAATGTTGGATTTATTTTCTATATATAAACTGCTTTATTAGGAAACATATTCTTAATATAATAATAGAAAGTTTAACATCAGGAAAATTATTCGGTTTATTATTTATTACGTAGATGCGTCACAAAAGGTGAGAGGACAACATCAAAATAATAATTAAATATGTAACAATATTGATTTGAAATTATAAAATGTATTTTAATTTTGAAATATATATCGGCTATTATATAGGAAAAAAAGTCAAAATACAAAGAAATGGAAACTGCGACGAAGAAAAATATATATGTTTCGTAATTTTAAAATTGCTCTCGCATTCCTTTGCTCTGTTCAAGTTTTCTAAAATAAAATTATTATTTTACTTTTGCATCATTCATTACCTCAATAATAATTATACATTATTCAATTAAATAATTTTATTTCACTTGTGATATCTGCACTTTCCAGTAAAAGTACGTATGTTCGTTGATCGTTTTTTATCTCGTGAAAAGATCGACAGGGGGAATGCAGTGGTACGAGGGATATGGTAATTAATATAAAACTTTCAAAGCGAAGGTGCGATAATGCGGGTGACCGCGTCATCGTGATCCCACCGTCCCGCCATTTTAACGCATAAACTTACGTGACAGCAACTTATCGTTCAATCTAAACATTTAGATGCTGTATCAATTAATTTCTAGGCGCTTTTTTTTAGATAAAATTTCTTAGAAATATTTATTAATTTTTTCTATATAGAAAATTATAAAATATAAAGTAATTCTTCTTCCAGATCATGTTTTAGAAGAACTTTTACTTCTTATATTAGATTGTTTACTTTTAGGCTTTTAAAACCAATTGCATTCCCGACTCATTAATTGTCATTGCAGCGGGCAAGGTGTGTATTAACAGTGAGATCCCCCCTGCGGTGTCTTAATTTCCAATTTCACAGCAGAGCACGAGACCAGATCTCATGCGGGATGTTCTAGGGAGGGCGTTTCGGGATATTTCTGTACATCGAAGAGGATCGGGCCCCAGGAGGTCGATGCGCGGCGGCGGCAGCGGTGGCGGCGGCGGCGGCGGCAGCGGCAGCGGCCGTAAGAGAACGAGGAGAAGTCGGTAACTTAACTGGCCTAAATGGGTTTAACTCGATGTGATTTTGCTGGCGAACCACTAAATTGAACGAATACGAACTAAACTGAACTCAACTAAGCTAATCATATCACATTACTAGCGTTATTAGCCGAGCGACGATATAAGTGAAGGTCCGGTGAGCGCCGGACTGCAGTGTAACGCAGCCTCCTGCACTGACCCTCCGTATCCGCGACTTTCTCTCGCATCCGCGCGCCCGCCATCTTGCTCCTCGCGAGGTACAAACATGACCTATATAGTATAACACGTATATTCGTCCGCCGTTCGTGGCCATCGTCGGATGGACCAGGTGATCGAGTTTCGAAGCAGAATCGGAGAGCAATCCGAGGAATTCGCGGTGTGATTCTCCGCCATCGCGTTTCCGCGCGATTTACTCGCGCCGCGGCGTACCGGAAGTGCGCGCGCCGGGGCACGTCGCGTCGGAGCAAGAGCGCGAGCGGGACTCCATATTGTTCTCGTAATGTAACGTCATAATTGGCAGACCGTGAGTACTCGTGTAAAAAATTTACGGTGAACGGGATTAAAAAATAGGAAGCTATAGAAGGAAAGACGATCTCTTTTGATACTTTTTTTGAATCTTTGAAGCTTCCGCGGTTTGTTAAATGTCGGCAACTCGCTTGCGCTTTCCGACCTCCACATCACGTACATATCCCATAAATTTGATTATCTCAGACGAAGGAAGACGGACAGTGTGCGTTTTACCGCTTTAAAATCGCTCGTTTGTTACGCGATGTTTATGCAAATTATTGTATATCTGGCGACGCGAACGAACGCGGATGGAGCGCGAGAACGTGAAGCACACGAGGAAGCCGAGGAAGGAGCCGCGTATCACGTTCCCCACTCCATCCGCGACGTGGTTGGACGAAGTCTGAAGAGAGATAAGAAAAGAAGACAAGTGTGATACGTCGCCCCTCTACTTCGCACGAAGGGGGGCAAAGTGGTGCGGCCTTTTCAGCTCCACCTCTTCACATCGGCAGCTTCCAAATCAACCCTCGATACGTGCGCAGACGTACAGATTATTCAGTTTATTATTTTTAGCTGTACTCTGTGTACATTAAAGTGACATGATAATTGGGAAAAAAATTAGAGAAAAAAAGTTGTACAGTTGAAAAGAACAGATTTCTACATATCCATGAATTATGTGCAATATAATCTTTTACTTTTGTTGTCTTATATCTTTTTGTTTAGCTCATCAGTATTACTGAACAATGACACATTAAAATCACGCATTAATTAAGTGTGATTTATTAAAAGTTTGTTACATCAAATCATTAATTTAAAGAATATTTAAAAGTTCTTCAGTAACTTCGGTAATTGTTAAGAATAATAGTAATAAGAAATAATAATTTATTATTCTTTCCATATTGTATAATATTTAGTGTATATAATTCTTGTATTTTCGCGTATATTATAAGTTAATAATTATTATAATATACATGGAATAAATTTCGGCAGGCATTATTATAATCTCGCTCGATTATTATAATAATTATAGATAATAATTACTGCAGAATATCGAAATTAGCTCGACTAAATCGTTCAGTATCATTACAATTTTACTATACTGAGAAAACAAGTTGTTGATATAACTAAATGCGTTTTATTTTTCTTTAGACATTTTTTCATTAGTTCAATTATATATGTTTTTTAGTAAACATACATCAACAACATTAACGTGATATTTTTTTGAATTGACAAGTATTTTATTAAATAATTTGACAATCCGTATAACCGCGTCGTGTATATTGAATCACGAAAATATTTTTTAATTTTACACTTTTTCTTCTTAGTGTACAATTGTAATTTAAAAAAAAGTTTCCGATTTAGATAAGATCTTATAAAAATAGTTAAGAAATTTTTATATAAATATCTAATAAATATGTAATAAATCTAATATATAAATATCTAATAAAATATCTTTTAATTATAACAATAGCAAATGCTTATACGGAATTCTTCTGGATCACGTATAAAGATTTCGCAAACTGCAGACGCGAGAGTTAATTTATAAGCTTCATCGCGAGGGAAAACTTCGGAAACGCACGCGAGAGAGAGAGAGAGAGAGGGAGGGGGGAGAAATGAGAGACAGAGAGACGCAGATGCTCGACCTCTGAACGGTGGACTTCTTCTTTTTTTCTGCACGTCATCCGTATTTTTTTTTTATGTCGTAGGTATGTCGTAGCGTTTTAACGACAAACGTGCGGTGCTGCCCGCAGCGTCGAGACCCGCCAATTGAGCCTGTTAACGCTCAATTGGTCTAAATTGCTTCAATTGGACGTAATTACGCGAAGGCGACGAGGAACCTCCGCCATGTTTCTCTCTTTCTCCTTCTCTCTCTCTCTCTCTCTTTCTCTTTTTCTCTGTGCCGCAAATATCATCAGCGGAGATGTTACGTT